TAGGATTTTGCCTTTGCCTTAGCTCCATTCAGTTTCTTTTTTATCCTGAAAAACTCCCCAGTCCTTAACGATTACAAGCATACCCATTACATGATGCAGCCACCACTATGCTTGAAAATATGGAGAGTGGTAATCAGTAATGTGTTGTATTGGATTTGCCCCAAACATAACACGTTGTATTCAGGACAAAAAGTGAATTGCTATGCCACATATTTTGCAGTATTAGTTGAGTGCCTTGTTGCAAACAGCATGCATGTTTTGGAATATTTTTAAAAAATTATGTTCAAGCTTCCTTCTTTTCACTCTGCCAATTAGGTTAGTATTGTGGAGTAACTACAATGTTGTTGATCCATCCTCAGTTTTCTCCTATCACAGCCATTCAACTCTGTAACGGTTTTAAAGTCACCATTGGCCTCATGGTGAAATCTCTGAGCGGTTTCCTTCCTCTCCGGCAACTGAGTTAGGAAGGACGCCTGTATCTTTGTAGTGACTGGGTGTATTGATACACCATCCAAAGTGGAATTAATAACTTCACCATGCTCAAAGGAATATTCAATGTCTGCTTTATTATTTTTTTATACCAATCTGTCAGGTTTTTGTGCGGTACCACGGGGTACCAGTATGAAAAAAGTATGAAAATGTATGCACTCACTACTGTAAGTCGCTCTGGATAAGAGCGTCTGCTAAATGACTACAATGTACAATGTATGTGCAAAACGTTAGCCAACATTTATAATAATGTATGCCATTTAGCAGACGCCTTTACCTAAAGTGGCTTATAAAAAGTGATTGCATACATTTTCGTATTAGTGGCCCCAGCAGGCCCCAGTGGGACATTTACTTTGTAAAGTTTTACTGTAGATCAACAGTCTTTTGATATATCTTTGAATTCAACATATAACTGCAATACAAAGCTTGGGGTGCAATTCTGGGGGCGTTTTGCCAGTAATTGATTGATGCAGTATGTTTCTTTATTTTCAATTTTTGGCCCAACTGTCACTCTCCTTCATTAGATGCAGAATGTTGTACTGAAGCTGAGCTATACTAGTGTAATGATGGGTAAAATGACACCTGCAGGTAAAACAGGTGAAAGTGCAGAGCAATGGAAATTATACAGGGTCTCTATCCACATACACTACATCAGCATCACTGTTGACAGATGCACATAGTTATCGCCCTTTATAGCCATTCAAATTAGTCTAGATCCACAGTGTGCTAGACCCCTATGGCTTTAAGATACACACTGAAACACAGGTGACAAACAATGTCTGTCCCCAGGGGATAGGCTCGTAGACAACACTATCTCCTGTATCTTCACCTCACCTGACTATTTACATATTGCCATTCCGCCGTCTCCTATTGGCCAGCGATGTCACAAAGGGGCGGGGTTAGAACATCACACCACTGTGACAGTCTACGAGGGGGAGTGTCTTGTGACAGGTAGTCACTTCAGGAACAGGAACAACAGGTCGCTAGCCAGGTTACCAAACAGAACAGAGTGGTACTGGCTGTACTGGTCTGGTGATAAGCAATAACAATAGTCTCTGTCTCAGAGACCCAAAGACTAACACCAGCCACCACCCAGAGCAATGTTTCCTCAGGGGCTACAGGGGAGGATACACTTTGACACACACTGCTGTACTCAATCAAACACACCCAGACACACGTAGGCCTACTATTAATCAATCATGGAAAATACATGTAGCTCTACCATCAATATGTTCAGTGGTGGCTCTCCACTGTGGAAAATTGGTGGGAGTGAGAGCAAGACTGGTCAAGAACATCACCACTTAGCTGGTCCATTACCTTTCCCCATATGCCCCAGTTAGACCTGTACATACCATGGTGAAGTCTGAAGGCTAAATGAACTGAGCTTGTGATGTTTTGACACATATCAATATGAAGGGGAGATGATTTGACTGGCACACGTGTTCTTAACTAGGTCATGACAATAGCAGCTACGTCTGTTGTGTATGTCTACCTCTGTATGGCTCTCAGCAGTGCACTGAATGAACAATAGAATGTACATAGAATGTTCAGTCATATCGACCCACTAGATGGCCAAGCTGCAAAGTCAAAATTGGCTATATCATAAAAATGTATGGACATTTTCTTTGCTTTTTGGTCTTCATTTAAGGTTTGGGTTAGGCATAAGGTTAGCAGTGTGGTTACGGTTAGGTTTAAAATCAGATTTTAAGAAGATAAATTGAAGAATAGGTGGGCCTTCGGACTTTGCAATTTGGCCAGACAGTGACGACCCTCTAAGGAGTAGGCTAAAGCAGGGTTTCTTAAACTATAGGTCCAGACCCAAAGTGGGCCCTGGGTTTGTGAGAGGTGGGTCGCGAGTTATGAGAATACATCTATAATCACACACTATTTCTTCTTAATTTGGGTCGTTGGAAGACGATTTGGGTCACGGTCAATTTCTCATTTGGGTCTCGAGCTGATAAAGTTTAAGAACCCCTAGGATAGATAGTAGCAAGAAGCTACTGTTAAACAGTTTAACTTTTTGACCTACTGCATAGTAAAACCTAGATATGTAAAGAGGAAAAGTCATTTGTTTCCTTTGGAGTCTGTCTGACCTACAAAGCGTTTCCATATGTTATTGTTGGACCTCCAAGTACCCCATATGGGGAATATGGGAAGGCTACTGCAGTCAGTCAAGTCTGCATCTGAAATGGCACCCTAGTCCCTATATAGTGCACTACTTTTGACAAGTATGGAATAGGGTGCCATTTGAGATACATCCTAAGGCTGCAGCGGTGATGGCATTTCCTTCTGGCTTCACATCCAGGCCACCACAACACGGGAGGAAGAAGAGGTTAGATTAAGAATAGTGGGGTTTAATGTTGATGTTTACATTATTCACAGCTCTCCCTCTCTTCCTGTAGCCCATGCTTGATTTGGAGTGTGGGAGTGACTTTTTTAAAGTTTAAAATCAAACATTGGTGGAGGATGCTAAACTTTGATTTGGATAAACATATTTGTCTAAAAACAGGTCAAGTTAAGGGTGACTAGCAAAGATGGCAGTTGGCCTGCAGTAAGATGGCAGTTGGCCTGCAATAAGATGACAGTTGGCCTGCAGTAAGATGGCAGTTGGCCTGCAGTAAGATGACAGTTGGCCTGCAGTAAGATGACAGTTGGCCTGCAGTAAGATCGCAGTTGGCCTGCAGTAAGATGGCATTTGGCCTGCAGTAATTTGGCATTTGGCCTACAGTAAGATGGCATTTGGCCTGCAGTAAGATGGCTTTTGGCCTTCATTAAATGACTAAAACAAACAATGTGTGGTCTGAAAGGTGCACTAAGCATTCCTTAGTTTGCAAGTCACCCATTGGCCCACATCTGACCCTTTATTATTTTATAGATATGCCACAGCCTTTGTGAATGTAGCATGTGTGTTTCACTAAGGCATGGCTGTCTAGTTTATGGCTCAAATAGGTCTACAATCAATTCTCCTATCTGTGGGTTGGATATGGCTACTTCAAGCTGGTGCAAACAAAGCTTTTGGACAAAAGGAGCAAGAAATTGTTTGAGATTGACGCATGTCCCAACCCTCCCATAACATCCACAACTCCTACATGGAAGTCTGTTGTTGGCCACGGTGAGAGTTCAGTGACCAGCCGGAGGAAGACGACATGACAGCACCCTCCTCAGGGGATAGGTACTCAGTGTAAAGACAATTAGTACACAGCTGGGCCCACTAATTGCTTTGTGTCTCACTCTATAAAGGTGTGCCAGGAGATGAGCTTGGGGCTGGGAGCATACACGGGGACCTGTGAGGACGTCGTACTCGCCTACTTCAGAGAAAGCGGCTGCTTCTGATTCACCTTGGCTCTGGGTTAAGCAAGGCAGGCTATAGGTAGAGAGAAGCGTTCCCCCTGTAAATGTTATGTGTAGACGATAGTCTAAAGATGCGTGAAGCCTTTTGTTGTTTTGTTTTCCCTGTTTGGCCACGGCCTTTAGGTCAACTGCTTTGTTTATTTGTATTCCTTTTTTTCGCTGTTGTTTCAGTGGTGGACGCTACCCTGTACTGGAATCATTTTGTCAGGTGAAAGAACCCATTTATTGACAATAAAAAAGCAAAGGAACCACAACCACTGCCTCCGGTCTGTTCATTTCATGCCTCCCGCCTCTGTTAGGGTGTTTCGGACAAGCTGATCTGTCACAATATATATTTCAAGATTAATACTATTTGAACCCAGGTCTAGACAAATCCTTATAGGCCTTTGTGAAAGGCCAGGGTTTTGTAATGAAATAGTAAAGTAGAAAATATACATTTGTCAGATCATTTTGGGGGTTTGACTTTGAGGAGAAACGTGAGTTGTTTGTTAGCTGCTTTGTTGCAAGATTCCAAAAGTGACCTCAGAGCAATAAATATCTTACAAAACATCTTGAAAGAAGTAATGCCTGTTAAAAGTCAAGGTCATCAGGTCAAAATAAATGTAGTTGGGAAAAGCCCCAGCCATCTAAAGTTAATTCTAGGTATGTGAAGCAGAAAATAAGAGCCAGGATTGACTTGACAAGATGAGAGTACAAATATTAAATAATTCAAGATCACATGAAACTGTTATCTACAGACCATGGAGTCTATAGACTGTATGGCAGTGGAGGCTGCTGAGGGGAGGACGGCTCATAATAATGTCTGTAACGAAGCAAATGGAATGGCATCAAACAGATGGAAACCATGTGTTTGATGTATTTGATACCATTCAACTTATTCCACTCCAGCCATTACTACGAGCCCGTCCTCCCCAATTAAGGTGCCACCAGCGCTGTATGGTACAGAATAGATAGGTGCTTTTTTGCAATCGTTACTTTTCTAATGTACGTCTGCGCTCTTGTGGAAGTCGTGATTATTGCGCTAAAAGTTCCTACCTACATTTCTGCATCTGTTGCGCCATCTCGTGAAATAATCGAGCAGTGTGTCCAGGCCACTTTTTTTCCAAACAGGTGAGTGCGATGCTGTAAATGTTTTACCTGGAGGCCCGTGACGTCAGATCTGACGTATTCCTTCAAGAACAGGAACCATGGAAGCCATGAGTACATTTATCCACATTTAGACAACTTTAATGGCGAAAATAAACGCTTAAAAATTTAACTTGAATCTAAGCAGACAAAGCTTGTAGTGGTTGAAATACTTGCGGAGTGATCCATTTGGTACTGATAATGTCTGCCTCAGCTGTCTTCGTTCTGGACTTGAAAGGAAAGGTAAGATCACTTCTCATTTTGATTGTAGCGATTGATAACGTTATAAACAATGTCCGTTTTAGGTTGACTTGATCTTAACTCGCTTTTGTTTGGGATTGTAATCGAGTTTGTTCAACGTTTGCACTTGCCATAAAACATTAATAGATGGCCAAGTCGTTAAAGATTAATTAGTAGCCTGTGACAGTTCCATTCAAGCTTTGCACAAGTTACTTCCGGACACAAGTGGATGGAAACAGGTCATAAGGCCAGTGGCTGCATCCTTTTTAGACTTGACAAATTCTTATACCAGGGGTTATGAAAAAAACTGCCACAAAATAATGATATATCATTTCCAAACATGAAAGGGAATATAGTAAGTGAGTCAAAGTTGCCTGGCACCTGTCATCTTGTGTACATGGGGGGCCAGTATGAAAATTTTAAAATTTTAAAATTAAAATAATGTATGCACTCACTAAATGTAAGTCGCTCTGGATAAGAGCGTCTTCTAAATGACTAAAATGTAAATGTAAAATGTACACTGTAGAAGGATAGTGCAAATATGAACACATTATAAATCACGCTTGGTTTGGCAGACAACACTGTAATTCCTATTGTAAACAGAAGAGAATGCTCTATTCAGTTTTCTCATACACAAACAAACATTGAACACAAAACCAGTATAGCCTGAATCTCTCACAGCTAGAGGTGTAATTTGATAAAAAGATTCCATCCTTCTACAATAGGCCTAGAAGTCATGGGAGGGGAAAGAGGACATGGTTTCAGGTGGCACAACAGCAAAAGGTTGTACTAGGCTACATACAAATTAGTAGGCCTAGGCCAGGGGTAGGCAACTATATTCAGCCGCCGTCCGATTTTGGTCGGAGCAGATGGTCGAGGGGCTAGAACATTATTATAATAATTTGTACACTGCAAATTGACCATAACTAAGCCCAAAAAGAGGTTGTATTTGAAAATAACAACTTCAATTTCATACCTTGATTACATTGAGACATGATCACTAAATTAAACTCAATTTAAGCTGAATTCTTGGTGATGTTACCTCATCACCTCTCACCCATTGACCTCTGTTACATTACCTCATCACCTCTCTGACCATTGACCTCTGAAACATAACCTCATTACTTCTCTCACCCATTGACCTCTAGTAGGACCCAGAGTTTTTTTTACAGTCACGTTACATGGTTAGGAAAAACTCAGGTGCCTTAAGTGTGACCTCTGACAAATATGGTGTGTTATTGTTGTTATTTCCCTATTCATTTTCCCCTTACCCTGCAGGTGCTGATATGTCGGAACTACAAGGGCGACGTGGACATGGCTGAGATTGACCATTTCCTGCCTTTACTCATGACACAGGAAGAGGAGGGGCTTACTTGTCCAATCATGTCGCACGGCAACGTTCACTTCCTGTGGATCAAGCACACCAACCTGTACTGTATCCTTATAACGAGTTTAGTCGCTAGCCAGTTAAAAGTTAATCATTAACATTTTGTAACCTGTATAAATAATGTGTTAGCTTTACTAATGAGAAATGCCACAAAAATAGAACCTACACAAAGACAAATATTTATTTTTCCCTAGAGTAAAGATGATAATGAACTTCTTAAACATATTACCCTAGGAGCTTAGAATAAGCCTGAATGTGTTCTATCTACCTTGACGTGACGCTCTAACAGTGGTGGCCACTACCAACAAGAACTCCAATGCCTCTCTGGTCTACGCCTTCCTCTATAAAGTGGTTGAGGTGAGTCAGAGGTCTGTCTGTGTTGTCTTGACAACTCCATTGCTGTCATTTTCACTCCAATGGCTAAGTCAGAAGTGTTTTTCTCTACCAAAAGACCTGCATAATTTGTCTACTGGTTTCTCCCTACACATTTGACATAACATGTTCCTAACATTATCATAATTCACATATTATTATTGAGGTTGCCAATCGATGTTATGTTGTTTCCAGGTGTTCACAGAGTACTTTACAGAGTTGGAGGAGGAGAGCATACAGGACAACTTTGTAGTGGTCTATGAGCTACTGGATGAGCTCATGGACTTTGGCTTCCCCCAGACCACCGACAGCAAGATCCTGCAGGAGTGAGTGACACCCGCTCACTTACTTACTTGCTTATGGCTGTCCATTGATGTCGATGATGATGCTGCTCACATACACACTGATACACATGTTCCCTGTTACAATATAGTAAATTAGTCATACAGGTGTACTGGGTAAATGCATGCAAAGTCACACGGAGACACAAAGGTACAACTTTAATAGACAGATACTGTTTCTAGACCCAACACCACGAAGTAAGGACAAGTTTTGGGACTTCTGAAAGTTCAATTGTTTTCGTAACGTCAGACTGATCTCCATACTGTCTCTACTACATGTACATTCAGACTGTTATCTTGACTCCAGATCTGTTTGTGCTGTCTTGCCAACTCCTGATCCTTGACATTTATTGTCATACAAAACAGATCTGGGATCAGGCTACTGATATCCATACTGTCTGTCTCTCCAGGTACATCACCCAGGAGGGCACCAAGCTGGAGGTGGCTAAGACCAAGGTTCCCACCACCGTCACCAACGCCGTGTCCTGGAGGTCAGAGGGCATCAAGTACAAGAAGAACGAGGTCTTCATCGATGTCATCGAGTCCATCAACTTACTGGTGAGTGGTATACCATAAGGATGTTGGGTTTGATACATGTAGATGTTAGACAGATTTGAACTGGTTTCATTCTGTCTTCATTTGCAGTGCATTTCAGCAATGAATTTGCTTGTATTTGGGCAATATCAATAATTGTTATAATTGATTTGGTGTATATAATGCTTGAGTCTCCATAGGAAGATATTGATAACTGAAAATGAAAATACCAATAACCTTTGCTTTCTGAGTAATTGATTATTTAATTGATTAAAGCTGGAATCCTTAATTGGTGGAACTGCCACGTCTGTTTGCGATATTACAACAACAAAGAAGTTACTGCAAACAACGAACACTGTTTTTTTCCTCAGACACCATTGCACGCGCGAACAGCAGAATATGTAGGCCTACTGCAATTTTTTCCCTCCTACTGCCGGACGCTCCTCTCCTCCATTTCTCCTCCACAAAACAAAAACAATACCAAAGGCGCTGGGGTGAACAGTGGCGCTGTTTCCCCTAATGTGGATTCGATCTTTAATTGACTGTGCATTCTCTCAATAAATCAACTCGCTACTGTATAAAAAGTGTGAGTCTCCATCAGAGGTTGACCCCTGTGTCGTCCGTTGACCCCAGGTGAATGCCAATGGCAGTGTGATGAGCAGTGACATCGTGGGCACCGTCAAGCTGAAGACCATGCTGTCTGGCATGCCTGAGCTGAGACTGGGACTCAATGACCGGGCACTGTTCGCCCTCACTGGCCGTATGTACAGTACACACACAGGCTAGCAGTGAGCACACACACACAGTCACCGCTTCTCAGATGCAATTGCATTTTAGATGTTGATGAAAATTAGTGTGTGTGTGTGTTCAGGAGACAAGGGGAAGACTGTAACAATGGAGGACGTTAAGTTTCACCAGTGTGTTCGTCTGTCCCGTTTCGAGAGTGACCGCACCATCTCCTTCATCCCTCCTGATGGAGAGTCTGAACTCATGTCCTACCGCATCAACACTCACGTGAGTTACATTAATACATTCATATTGTATCCCTGAAAATGTACACGTACAGTGAGGGAAAAAAGTATTTGATCCCCTGCTGATTTTGTACGTTTGCCCACTGACAAATAAATTATCAGTCTATAATTTTAATGGTAGGATTATTTGAACAGTGAGAGACAGAATAACAACAAAAAAATCCAGAAAAACGCATGTCAAAAATGTTATAAATTGATTTGCATTTTAATGAGGGAAATAAGTATTTGACCCCTCTGCAAAACATGACTTAGTACTTGGTGGCAAAACCCTTGTTGGCAATCACAGAGGTCAGACGTTTCTTGTAGTTGGCCACCAGGTTTGCACACATCTCAGGAGGGATTTTGTCCCACTCCTCTGCAGATCTTCTCCAAGTCATTAAGGTTTCGAGCCTGACGTTTGGCAACTCGAATCTTCAGCTCCCTCCACAGATTTTCTATGGGATTAAGGTCTGGAGACTGGCTAGGCCACTCCAGGACCTTAATGTGCTTCTTCTTGAGCCACTCCTTTGTTGCCTTGGCCGTGTGTTTTGGGTCATTGTCATGCTGGAATACCCATCCATGACCCATTTTCAATGCCCTGGCTGAGGGAAGGAGGTTCTCACCCAAGATTTGACGGTACATGGCCCCGTCCATCGTCCATTTGATGCGGTGAAGTTGTCCTGTCCCCTTAGCAGAAAAACACCCCCAAAGCATAATGTTTCCACCTCCATGTTTGAGGGTGGGGATGGTGGTGTTGGGGTCATAGGCAGCATTCCTCCTCCTCCAAACACGGCGAGTTGAGTTGATGCCAAAGAGCTCCATTTTGGTCTCATCTGACCACAACACTTTCACCCAGTTCTCTTCTGAATCATTCAGATGTTCATTGGAAAACTTCAGACGGGCCTGTATATGTGCTTTCTTGAGCAGGGGGACCTTGCGGGCGCTGCAGGATTTCAGTCCTTCACAGCGTAGTGTGTTACCAATAGTTTTCTTGGTGACTATGGTCCCAGCTGCCTTGAGACCATTGACAAGATCCTCCTGTGTAGTTCTGGGCTGATTCCTCACCATTCTCATGATCATTGCAACTCCACGAGGTGAGATCTTGCATGGAGCCCCAGGCCGAGGGAGATTGACAGATCTTTTGTGTTTCTTCCATTTGCAAATAATCGCACCAACTGTTGTCACCTTCTCACCAAGCTGCTTGGCGATGGTCTTGTAGCCCATTCCAGCCTTGTGTAGGTCTACAATCTTGTCCCTGACATCCTTGGAGAGCTCTTTGGTTTTGGCAATGGTGGAGAGTTTGGAGTCTGATTGATTGATTGCTTCTGTGGACAGGTGTCTTTTATACAGGTAACAAGCTGAGATTAGGAGCACTCCCTTTACAAGTGTGCTCCTAATCTCAGCTCTTTACCTGTATAAAAGACACCTGGGAGCCAGAAATCTTTCTGATTGAGAGGGGGTCAAATACTTATTTCCCTCATTAAAATGCAAATCAATTTATAACATTTTTGACATGCGTTTTCTGGATTTTTTTGTTGTTATTCTGTCTCTCACTGTTCAAATAAACCTACCATTAAAATTATAGACTGATAATTTTTTTGTCAGTGGGCAAACTTACAAAATCAGCAGGGGATCAAATACTTTTTTCCCCTCACTGTATCCCTCATAAATTACCTCTCTAAAAAACCTAATCCCTCCCTCATACATTTTCACTCTTCCATTGCACTGTTACGCTAGTGTACTGAAATCAATACTTGAGTGAGCTATAAGCCCTGTCTGTATCAAGGACAGTGGTGTAGTAGAGGGTAAAAACTGTTTATGCACCATTTTTTATTTTGCGTGAGCACTTACCCACCTTTCTCTGAAAAATGCATTGAAAGTAAAGAGTGTTACTTGACTCACCGCAAACAGCGATCAGCATTTACCCACCTATTTTTCTACCACTACATCACTGATCAAGCAGTATAATGGCTTTCCAGTTGGCAGCAGAACTAACTACATGCTGTGTCCCTACAGGTGAAGCCTCTGATATGGATTGAGTCTGTCATCGAGAAGTTCTCTCACAGTCGAGTGGAGATCATGGTTAAGGTAGTGTTATATAGTAACACTCAATGTATGAATCTATGCATTGTCCTATGCTACAGTTGCCTTTTCCACTTCTATAGGCTAAAGGTCAGTTCAAGAAGCAGTCAGTAGCCAACAATGTGGAGGTGCGGGTGCCCGTCCCCAGTGACGCTGACTCTCCCAAGTTTAAGACCAGTACGGGCCACGCTAAATACGTCCCTGAGAAGAACCTGGCTGTGTGGACCATCAAGTCCTTCCCTGTAAGTATTTCATCCAAGCAGCGCTTCTGTCTCCAGCCATTCTTCCCTGTATGACAAGACTCAAGGCCAAATATATATAGAGCCATTTTTTTTCCCCAAGCGAACGCCACGTTCGAGGGATGCGCGCACATCTTTGCAACAAAAAGCTGTGTAGCAGGATAGCTAACCTTGATGTCGGGACCTTAACAGTGAGTGAGTGATGACCATGAAAACACGCAAGACTGATGGCTATAGCTATGTTCAACATGTATATTATTCTCCTGGCTCTATTTGTGGCATTTTACCTTGCCTCACTGGCTTGCTAACTTGCTAGGTAATTAATCCTCCGATGACATCTGCGATGTTGTAGACGATAACCATCTGATTAATTGCACGAGCTGCATCTAAAGTCAAGGATTTTGTATCCCACTCCCATGTAAATAAACCCCTTTCAGATTCTGAACTGTGCGCAACTTTTCATGACGTGGCCGCCGGTGGGGAAATGGGTCTATACTGTACCCTAGAATTTAGAACATGAAGGCTCCTGACCTGGAAAAACTCCAGGCTCTTAGTCTGGTCAGGACACATCATCAGGAGGAAAAACTCAGGGCCCTATACGAACCATCTCTCTCTTTCCCTAATTTTTCTCTCTGTATCTCTCTCTCTCCTCTCCCTCTTTTTCTCTCCCCCCTGTTTCTCCCCCCAGGGCGGTAAGGAGTTTCTGATGCGGGCCAGCTTTGGCCTGCCCAGTGTGGAGAATGATGAGATGGAGGGCAAACCTCCCATCACTGTCAACTTTGAGATTCCATACTTCACAGTGTCAGGGATACAGGTGAGCCATGTGTGTGCGTGCATGTGAGTATCCTGTATTGACCTTTGAAAACAAGCTTATGCAGAACCAAAGTGGTGACTTACTTAGCATAAACTAGCATAGGCTACATGTGCCTGATTTGGTTAGGCAAAACAAATATCTCAAGTTACACTGACCTGATCTCTCTCCTCTCCTCTCCTCTGTCGCTCTGTGTGCGGTAAGGTGCGGTACATGAAAATTATAGAGAAGAGTGGTTACCAGGCCTTGCCCTGGGTCAGATACATCACACAGAGTGGAGGTAGGACTGCCATGCTCTTTAGATATAGCTTACTCATGTATAGAGAAAAGAGTCCCATCATTTAGTCATAGAGAAAAAATGATTTTTACTTTTTTAAATTAGAACTATAGTATTTATCCTATAGTATTTTTATTGTTCTGTTTTCTTTCATTTAGATTACCAACTACGGAGTAACTTCTAAACCAGGGGTGGCTAGCTTCTTCCTTTGCTTCCAGAGATCATAGCTCAAGGATCAATTTAATTGCACACACAAAAAAGGAAAATGTCTTTGAATTTCACTGAAATGCTCTGCTTAATAACGTTACTGTATAAGATTGTTTGTGATTTGTACTTTTATTTCATGCAATGTAATTTGAGATTTAACTTGAGATTTTAATTGCTTTACTCATTGTTTAAAAATAATGTTGATATTAAATTATAGCCTTTAAATAAATTTGTATGGGTGGGTTTCGTTTGTATATTATTACATTTAATGAACAAAACATTTTAGCTATAAATTGATTGTTTTCTATCATCCAAAATAGTAGCCGCTATTTTACCCAGAAAGTATATAAAATCACATATCAAACGTTTTTCACACCCATTGGCGCGTTTTAATGACACAACTGTCAATCGCGGGCATTTGGTGAATGATTTCTTCAGTAACCCGCCTTTTTTTCTGCCTGACTTTAGGGATTTACTATCAAATTTCAGAAATATGAATGAATGTACCTTGAAGACGTCAACGTCCGCAAAATTGCCCGCCTTCTACGCTATGGCTTCTTATTGGTCGACTCTACTGTTACCACAGTGATACTGTAGCAACTAAGTCATTACTCCACCCACCTCGCCATTCAACGCGCTGATTGGTCGAGATACGTTCTGTCCAATGTTTGTAAATGTTGGTTGGGTAAACGGTAGTGTAGTTCTCAGCGCGCAAATTAAAGGTCCTGCAGCCTTCAAAGTTATTAAACATTTACCTGTTGTGATTTATTTGAAAAGTACCTCGAAAAAGGGACAGAAAAGAAGAGCCAGTAACAGTCGGGATCTTTTCAAAACGGACAAGGTAACTACCTTTTCCTATGAGTTTTGATTCCCCTTAGACTGCTAGCTAGAATTATTATACTGCGCTAGCTAGATAAACAGAATTGGGCTCCACAATTTCAAAGAAATAACATTGTAAAGTATTTATGTTGTTCTCCTTTTGTTATCACTATAATGTGTTGGTTGACCTACTCGCAACTAGCTTGCTTGCTAACGTTTGCCGGTTGGGGATAAATGATAGTGAGCTAGCTAACGAAACGAGCTGGTTAGCTTAGCTAGACTCGAACAGTTAGTTAAAATTAGATACTGGGTAGCTACTCAGTTGGCTATTTCTTCTATTCATATTGTAGGGAGAAAATATAGAAAGGCGTCTACAATGGTCCTGAGTCAGAGTGATGCGGCCAAGAGCCTGACCGCTGCCGCAGCCAAGGGAAATACGGACGAGGTCCGGACGATGCTGGGGCCGGAATGCAGAGTGCACCCCGATACTGTCAATGAATTTGGCAAGACCGCTCTACAGGTAACTAACTGGTCCTCATTGAACTGTCATTGTGTCCTAGCCTGTAATATTTAGACTCAAACTGTGTATGCTTTGAATGTACTATAGCTAGCTAGCTAAGTCTGTGTGGGTGGGAGAGGGAGACAACAACAGATCTGTCTGCCCCATGGTTGCTTCCCCAGAATGGTTTTCTTATACGTTGTTGTTTGAATGAAGGACAGTGAAACCAGTGTTCAACTATTTTCTTTGAAGCATCATGTAACAACCGTGTCTATTGCTCATTAATAGCTAAAGTGTTGGACAACCATTCTGACAAATGTACCTAACCTAGCTAGCTATATAACTATGTTCTTCTTTATAATTCCCCTACATAAAATTCAATTGTTACAATCCCATGAACTCTCTCCCACTAGGCCTATGTCAAACACTGCATCATGTGATGAAAACATTTGGTAACGCCCTCTAACATCAAGTCTCCTTCTGTTCTCCCTAGGTGATGATGATGGGCAACTCCAACGTGGCCAGCTTACTGTTGGAGCACGGAGCTGACCCAAACATCACGGACCGGCGAGGAGTCTCACCGGCGCATGATGCGGCACGCACTGGCTTCGTGGACACACTCCGGGTTCTGGTGGAGTTCGGAGCGTCAGTCAACAGGCCAGACCACACCGGCACCCTACCCATCCACATCGCTGTCCGAGAGGGCTACCGGGACGTCGTTGAGTTCCTTGCGCCACTCTCCAACCTCAAACACCGCAACACCAGTGGAGAGACAGCGGTGGACCTCGCCCGAGCCTCATCGTCGTGTACACCGGATTTGGTGGAGCTTCTAGAGAGACAGCTGGAATCTAAACTGTTCTCTCACTCCCCACCTCTCCCTCTTTAGGAGGAGTTAGATGGACTCTAGCACCAACCCCCCTCTCTATGCTGAATTGGATGGTGCATAGACTCCCCTTCTACACCTACCTTACCTACACTCTCCTCTCAAAACCTGGTGACTTGAATTCATTGATGTAAACTTTACATTGTAAAGTATGATTTTTAGTAACTGGTCGAGGTTGGCTTTTGTTTACCGTCTGTTTTGGCAGCTTATGGAAGAATAGGTATGGTGGACATTATTTGGACACCGTTTTTGCACAGAGCAAAGCACCTTTTGATGGTAAATTTGACCTAATTTGACCCCCCCCCTTTTTGATTCAGGAGTGCACACTTGTACAAAGCTTTATTATTCAGTGTTTGGGGTGATTTATATTGCATTATTATTCCTCATTGTGAAGGAAATTGAACTGTTTATGTGATTTTTAAAAACGTTTGATATTTTGACTTGACATGGTGTATCCCATGATGATTGCATTGCATAGTAGTTGCGTTTATCTTTGAAAACATGTCTTTTTATTAGGCGTATTTAGAATATCTGGAATTTTACATGTATTTATTTATTGAAAATATTCTTATGAACTTTTGTAAATAGCTACATTTATTGTTGATTGTTTTTTTGAGATGTTATTTATATACAAATACTATTGACAAACAAAAAAATAAGTATTCATTCCTTCTTGGAAGACTGAAGCACAAAATAAAGTGTTTAACTTGACCTTTTTTTTTGTTTCTATTCCATGGGACTTGGCTAAAGAGTTACTGTTGGTAAAATAGCAACAACCGGTTATACAATTAGAATTATGTCTGACTATTACAATTCAGAATCTTGATCAAAAGAATCTTCTATATTATTACACCCATGAAATCCATATACAAGGAATTTGATGACAAGTGCAGTTCTCTATTGTGACCACAGGAGATCACTATCCAACTAGAGTTGTGGAGCCAAGAAGGGAGGCAAACCCATAGAGATAGATAGAGGACTCATCTTTAGATCTGTGCGATTATAGTGTCTGTGACAGCATGGGCAGAGCCATTGAGGCTACAACCCATAGGAATCCCCACCCAGTTGACTACTTTAAAATGGCAGAAGCATGGTGGTCTGCCCAACGCATCACCGGGGGCAAACTACCAGCCCTCCAGGACACCTACAGCACCCGATGTCACAGGAAGGCCAAAAAGATCATCAAGGACAACAATCACCCGAGCCACTGCCTGTTCACCCTGCTATCATCCAGAAGGCGAGGTCAGTACAGGTGCATCAAAGCTGGGACCGAGAGAATGAAAAACAGCTTCTATCTTAAGGCATCAAACTGTTAAATACCCATCACTAGCACATTAGAGGCTGCTGCCTACAGTGAGGGAAAAAAGTATTTGATCCCCTGCTGATTTTGTACGTTTGCCCACTGACAAAGAAATGATCAGTCTATAATTTTAATGGTAGGTTTATTTGAACAGTGAGAGACAGAATAACAACAAAAAAATCCAGAAAAACGCATGTCAAAAATGTTATAAATTGATTTGCATTTTAATGAGGGAAATAAGTATTTGACCCCCTCTCAATTAGAAGGATTTCTGGCTCCCAGGTGTCTTTTATACAGGTAACGAGCTGAGATTAGGAGCACACTCTTAAAGGGAGTGCTCCTAATCTCAGTTTGTTACCTGTATAAAAGACACCTGTCCACAGAAGCAATCAATCAATCAGATTCCAAACTCTCCACCATTGCCAAGACCAAAGAGCTCTCCAAGGATGTCAGGGACAAGATTGTAGACCTACACAAGGCTGGAATGGGCTACAAGACCATCGCCAAGCAGCTTGGTGAGAAGGTGACAACAGTTGGTGCGATTATTTGCAAATGGAAGAAACACAAAAGATCTGTCAATCTCCCTCGGCCTGTGGCTCCATGCAAGATCTCACCTCGTGGAGTTGCAATGATCATGAGAACGGTGAGGAATCAGCCCAGAACTACACAGGAGGATCTTGTCAATGATCTCAAGGCAGCTGGGACCATAGTCACCAAGAAAACTATTGGTAACACACTACGCTGTGAAGGACTGAAATCCTGCAGCGCCCGCAAGGTCCCCCTGCTCAAGAAAGCACATATACAGGCCCGTCTGAAGTTTTCCAATGAACATCTGAATGATTCAGAGGAGAACTGGGTGAAAGTGTTGTGGTCAGATGAGACCAAAATGGAGCTCTTTGGCATCAACTCAACTCGCCGTGTTTGGAGGAGGAGGAATGCTGCCTATGACCCCAAGAACACCATCCCCACCGTCAAACATGGAGGTGGAAACATTATGCTTTGGGGTTGTTTTTCTGCTAAGGGGACAGGACAACTTCACCGCATCAAAGGGACGATGGACGGGGCCATGTACCGTCAAATCTTGGGTGAGAACCTCCTTCCCTCAGCCAGGGCATTGAAAATGGGTAATGAATGGGTATTCCAGCATGACAATGACCCAAAACACAAGGCCAAGGCAACAAAGGAGTGGCTCAAGAAGAAGCACATTAAGGTCCTGGAGTGGCCTAGCCAGTCTCCAGACCTTAATCCCATAGAAAATCTGTGGAGGGAGCTGAAGGTTCGAGTTGCCAAACGTCAGGCTCGAAACCTTAATGACTTGGAGAAGATCTGCAGAGGAGTGGGACAAAATCTCTCCTGAGATGTGTGCAATCCTGGTGGCCAACTACAAGAAACGTCTGACCTCTGTGATTACCAACAAGGGTTTTGCCACCAAGTACTAAGTAATGTTTTGCAGAGGGGTCAAATACTTATTTCCCTCATTAAAATGCTAATCAATTTATAACATTTTTGACATGCGTTTTTCTGGATTTTTTTGTTTGTTATTCTGTCTCTCACTGTTCAAATAAACCTACCATTAAAATGATAGTCTGATCATGTCTTTTTCAGTGGGCAAACGTACAAAATCAGCAGGGGATCAAATACTTTTTTCCCTCACTGTATATACATAGATTAGAAATCACTGGCCACTTAAATAAATTGAACAGTAGTCACTTTAATAATGTTTACATATCTTGCATTACTCATCTCATATGTATATACTGTATTCTATACTATTCTACTGTATCTTAGTCTATGCCGCTCTGACATTGCTTGTCCATATATTTATTTATATCTTCTTAATTCCATTGCTTTACTTAGATTTGTGTGTATTGGGTATATGTTGTGAAATGATTAGATAGTACTTGTTAGATATTACTGCACTGTCGGAGATAGAAACACAAGCATTTCGCTACACCCGCAATAACATCTGCTAAACACGTGACCAATAAGATTTGATTTGGAAGCCCTCAAGGGCAATGTCCATGCTAAAACGGGTTATATCCATGAGTCTACCTCTATGGGCAAACCGGATCAGGTGCAGGTGTCCCCATAACACTTCTGAGATAACAATGTGGTGGTTTCATACAATTTCAAGAACATTCACAAATTCATATGTAGATTATAGTCAGAAATATTTGAAGGTTTATGAGTCTTCTCTTTGTGACTGTCATACCTTTGTATTTTAAACCCAATCAGTTGTGTTATTAATCTATTGTATTAGCATTTCTAAAAAAACACTTTATAGTCACAAGGCCTTTTCAAACTGCATTTTCGTAGCTCTGGGCTAAGGAGGCTGTTAGCCCTGGGCTAAGTGCAGTGTGAACGTGGCTACAGAGACCGTACGCTTCTAGATAGAGTACTTTACCTGAGGTAACATTGTCCATTGTATTCTGTTTTGCACTCATGAGTGTTAACCCCAAGGTGAGTCAACAAGGACATTTCTAATGACTCCACAATGGAATGTACTACACAGGGAAAACACTAAGGTAAAGGCAGATATCTGGACACCTGCGCACGGACGCACGCACACAGGGCTGAATGAAGGCTCTGTTTGGTTAAGTGTGGTCCAGGCAGTTTACCCAAGTCCAGGCATTGAAGGGCACTGCCTGGCACAATGGATGTGTTGTTTGACTATGTGCCACAAGCCAAAATTCACCTAACAAAACATCCTTATCTCTTCTTCTCCTGAAAACTTCATTTACTTGGCATTTATCATTTCAGCATGCAGAACTACTTGTTATACTGTAGGCTATAGATAGACTAAAGCAAGCAGAGGCTTGTCAATGGTTGGGGGGAAATAATCTGATCCTAAATCTGTGCCTATGGGCAACCTGTATTTGGGGCTGAAATAGTGCTTAAGAAGTATGGTGACATGATGATAATAATGAACCTTCCTAGTCTGTTAACCAGTCGGTGTAGCTATCATTCCACTCCTTGCCACTCCTTGTTATGCTAAACATCTTTGACAAATGACACGGAGAACAAGGAGTGGAATGTTAGCTAAACAGACTGGTGCCCATGCTAGATCTTTCCATCATACCGGATCAATTTCTGTATATTTAGCATGCATGATGAAGTAATATAATGAGTCATTATGATCTTATCACATCTGTTAGGATAGGAAACATTGACACAGTTCCTGCCTCCCAGATATAGCCTGGTCCCAGATCTGTTTGTGCCGTCTTGCCAACGCCTATGGTCATTATCATGCCAATGACCATAGGCATTAACAACACAGCACAAACAGATCTGGGACCAGGCTATCCCAGATATACAACACACTGAGTAACTTAAATCATGCAGTTGTTAAGCATTTCTCATGTTTGCTGGAATTAAATTATATTGCTGGGAGGCACCTAGAGGAGATGAGATCAACTCCTATTTGTGTAAATATTGCATTATGATGACTAGACCTGTTGGCTGGTACACACCGAAACAAACATAACATGATACGCATTCAGAGACTTGTTCTCATGCTCTACTTGCTAAGCAGCACAGTTTAGAGTCAACACCCAACCTATTACTCCTTCCGGGAACAATCCCTAGCCCCTCCTGTGTAGATCTGATAGTGATTTGATAGGTGTAAACAATATGGTAAGAACTTCACCCAGCCTATTCAAATGCAAGAAGAAGCAATTACCACACTTTGTGTACCTATCGAATTCTATCAGATCTACCGGAGTGTCTAGGCCAGAGGTTAGGGCTGCGTTAGGGCTTGTCTATGGCTCTGTCTCGGGGGGTTATTAAACTGGGTTGTGTCTTGACTAATCCTGGACGTCATTTCCAAACTCCAGATCAACCTTTAACTGACACTACTGCCTGAAAGGGAAAGGAAATGATTGGCAGAGCAGAGTGGGACACGTGTGTGTGCATGCGCATACCACGGACACACTAGCGTGACAAACCGTGTTGTCTGCACACCTTTGGACATTCCCACCTTCCAACCTAGCCTACTCCCCTTGCTCCAGCAGGAACAGGGAAGTGCAGTTTCCCTCCATTGGCCTCGTCTGTGATTGTGAGTGTGTGGGCTGGCCTGTGTGTTTGGTGATTACTGAGGTATGTATGTCCCTGGCTTGGCTGATATGAACCCTTGTTATGGAGACAAAAGGCAGGACATGACTGGGCTCCTTCTACAGGAGGAAAAACACAACACACTGACAACAGGAATGCTTTGGTGTGTTTGTGTGTGTTTACATGGCTGTGTCTGACCCAGTCCATTGTGACATTGTCCAGTAACTTGCATCTGTAAATAATCAGAATGGCCTGATGCCTTTTGTACATGTATGTATGTTCTAAACTGCCGCCTGATACCTCCTAGCAGTGTTGTAGTACTCCAGTCCAGGACTCAGACTTGAGTCACGATTTTTGGACTCGACCAGTAGTGACTGTCAGAAACCTCTCTTTGTTGCATAATTTACTGTACTAGCTACAACAGCAAATGTTAGAGAGCTGTATTATCTAGTTATCTGGACAATGTGCAACAATGTAACATAATTTGCATTTAAAAAAAGGGTTGAACAGCAGCTTAAAGCACTTCCAAGGGACTCCTGACTCGAGTATAAAGGACTTGTAGTCGAGGTTTAGTGACTTGACTACATCACTGCCTCCTACTATCATTATAGTATAATACTGTAGTGAAGTATGCAACCTGTTGAAAGAGCTGAGTCCTCATACTGCTACAGTATTACTACAGTTCAGTACTGTCAGCTGACTCCTCATACTGCTATAGTATTACTACAGTTCAGTACTGTCAGCTGACTCCTCATACTGCTACAGTATTACTACAGTTCAGTACTGTCAGCTGACTCCTCATACTGCTACAGTATTACTACAGTTCAGTACTGTCAGCTGACTCCTCATACTGCTACAGTATTACTACAGTTCAGTACTGTCAGCTGACTCCTCATACTGCTATAGTATTACTACAGTTCAGTACTGTCAGCTGACTCCACATACTGCTACAGTACTACTACAGTTCAGTACTGTCAGCTGACTCCACATACTGCTACAGTACTACTACAGTTCAGTACTGTCAGCTGACTCCACATACTGCTACAGTACTACTACAGTATAGTACTGTGTACAACCCTTGATAGTGCTGACCTTAGATTAATCCTTCATTTATTTTTGACCATTGGTTGTGTGATTCACATGCCTGAAAGGTAGTTAAAACCACCAAGGGATGACAACAACAAAGGAATAAGAACGCTTCACTTGGGTCCACGTCATTCACTCATTACAGGTGGATTGTAAAATCATTGTGAAATACATTTGTGCATTGCATACCAGTGTAATCATTGTGTTGTTATGGTGTAAGAACACATTTCACTTTGTGAATGTACTGCAGTGTATCATAATGAAGCTTACAGTATTACTGTATATGATTAGCTAGTTGAATTGGCCTCCATCTAGTTTCAACTGATATGCATAAAACACAATGACCAACATTCATTCAATGAGTTACTCTCCAAGTCACTCAGCTAATGTAGGAAGAGATCAAACTCCCAAGAGACGGGCATTGAAAAGACTTCACTCTGCGTTTGTCACGTCTCCATGAGAGAGAGGAACCCTTTGTGCTGTATGAAACAATGAGTTGAACAGGATAGCTTCCCCATCCCTTTTTACCCTCTGGCTGGATGCAACTGAAGTTCTCTCTTTAGAGATCTCAGAAATATGATTCCTCTATTAGTACAAAACTAACCTACCAGGTAAATAAATTGAACAGGAGAGGTATAATCTTTGAGGAAAAGGAAACTGATACTCAGATGTTTTCATCCCAGTACCTTGTATTATGTGTGTTCATATCACCCTCCATCCTTTCTATGGCATAAAACATTCCCCTCAAACTCACTCTGCCAGTTTTTCTCTGTAAACGTAGGCCTCTAATCAATCCATATCATGGAAATTCAGAGTTACATAGTTAGTGGAGGCTGCATTCACGGTAAACTTTGCATATGTCGGCTCAATCGGAAATTACCTTTACATTTTTTATAGCGCGCAATCTGTAACGCTTCAGCGAATAGTCCCCTTAACAAGCCTGCAAGGCAGCCTTCATGAGCAACGATGTTCAAGCTGCCAACAAGTTAAATAAAAAAAAGATAATGATCATATGACATATGCTTTAAGGATGACATTTCATCAAGGACACTTTTGATAGACATCTTTGTATTAAAAAACATTTTTAAAAAAGTATAGTCAAGACAATAAGTAGGTGAACATGATTTAAAGATGATTTGACCAAAATATATTACATTTGCTAATTATTCTATTGCTATACTGTATGTCCCTCCGAAATGTGCGAAAAGTCCTTTCTTGAACCTTATATGCTACGGTATGTCCATAGTTCCTTCCTTACTTGTCCTCTCGTACTTTCGGATTCATATTCTCGGATTTGCCTTTAAAAAAGTTAATCCCTCATGTCCTCACAACTGCAAACCCACCCAGAGGACCAATCATTTCCCACGGAGCTGAAATCTCTGACCAATCAAGTGTTACTAAACCTGACCCTTTATCCTATCTCTCAACTGTTGTCAGCGGCTTACGCACCAGGAGGAGTAAAAAGCCCTTTAAAGTAAGTAAAGTAATTGTCTCTCAACTGTCTTTCATCCTGCTCCGTACATCCGACGGCAGTAGATCCAGCAGGTTGTCCTCTACCACAAGATTACTGGTCTTCAACAGGGGACAATCCCCTATCTCCGAGGGTAGAGACTCTAGCCTGTTCCCCTTGAGCTCCAGGCGCACTAGCTGGGCCAAGTTAGCCACCCTGGGGCTAAGCGAGAGCAGGCAGTTGTTTCCCAGCGCCAGGGTCTTGAGCCTCTTGCAGGAGAACAGCTCCTCCGGCAGCTGTTCCAGGGAGTTAAAGGCTGCTGAGAAGAACTGGAGACTCTGGAGTATCCCTACCTCGGCTGGTAGCGATGTGAGCTGGTTGTGGGACAGGTTCAAGTGCCGGAGCTTGGTGCAGTAGAAGAGACGTGACGGAAGTTTCCGGAGCTTGTTCCAACTGACGTTCAGCGTCTCTAAGGACTTCAGCTTAGCAATGTGCTCAGGGATGTAGGTGATGCTGTTGTGCCAGAGACGAAGAGTTACCAGGCGCCGGCAATGTTGTAGACTCAGGATCTCCTCTACTGTAGTCAGCTTGTTTTCCTTCAGGTCCAGCTCCTGCAGGCTTGATAGGCTGAAGACCGCGCTGGGGATGCGCTCCAGCTCGCATCCTGTCAGCTCCAGAGAGGCCAGGTTGGTTAACTTCTTCAGGCTGCTGAAGGCTTGGAGTTTGAGGCCCTCATTATAGATGCAGAGACGCTGGAGGTTGACTGCCACGTCCCCGACACTCGGAGGGATCTTGGTTAGGCGGCTGCGAAGCGTCAGGACTCTTAGAGCTTTGAGTTCTCTCAGGGAGTCTAAGGTTGCACTGCGGGAGAGTTCGTGGGTCAACGGACCACTCAGGTGGAGCTCTTCAAGACTCTGAAGTGTGTACATCCACATTGGTACCTGCTCCAGGCCCTCAAAGGCTAGCCGGAGGACCTTGAGGTTCTCTCTGAGGTGGGTCAGGGCAGCCAGCTGGAGCTTGGCAGGGCAGTGGATGAGGGACAGCTCCTGGAGAGAACCTAGCTGGATCACACTGGAGGAAATAGTCACATTGTTTAGCAGCTCCAGTTTGAGAGATTCCACTTCAGGGACATCAAAGACGGTGTCAGGGAGACCTGGGAGCATGAAGAGATGGAGTTCCTGGCGGTTGTCAGCATTCCGGGAGAGGCGGCCCCGGAGCTTTTTGCCGGTCCACTCGTGGTTGAGGGTGACCTGGCGAAGACGGCTCTCGCTGACCTCGGAGAGGAAGACAGCGAAGCGTTTGGAGTAGAGCGCGTCGTACTGGTCACTGAGGTGGAGGAGGAACGCAAAGTCGTTCTTGACGTCTGGGATGTCGTTGATGCCCGTCTCCAGTCGAACATGCTCAAAGGAGTACTCTTTAAGAGGTCGATGGAAGAGCCAATAGAGGGTGTAGATGCACAGAAGTCCGTAGACTCCCACAAAGCAGATGTAACAGTAACACAGCTTGGAGAAGAGGTGGGCTTTGGTGTGGTTGCAGCAGTAGATGTCGAAGCCGGTCAGCTCCGGAGGAACTGAGCAACGAACTACAATCTCAATGTTGGGGACCAATGCAGTGCTGTAACAGGTGATGAGGACGAACTTGAAGACCTTGAGGGAGGTCTGGAGAACGTACATCAGGTAGAGCAGATCCGCTTCCTCCACATGCGTTCTGAACTTCTTCACCTTCTCGAACAGAGCTTTAGCCTGCTCCCCTTCCTTCTTGTCCAGGAGGGAATCTGCTGGCTGTAGTTCCGGGTTCTTCTTCTCTGGATTTGACTTGATGGACGACTGCCGGAGAAGTCCCACCATCTCCTCCTCCACCCCTGGCCCACTGTCCGGCGAGGCAGCGAACGCTGATGCCATCGACTTCGACATGGTGTTCTTCCTCCATATCACCATCTTTTCCTCGCCACGCTCCTCAGACACCTCACTCAGTGCCCGGGTGGTCCACGGCGAGTCGAAACACTTCCCCAGGATGGTGACAAAGATCTCGATCTTGGACGACGTCCCAGGGAACTTAAACCAGAAGCTGCTGGCCACCATGAAGATCAATGTGTGGATTACCACCAGGTAGGGGAAGTACTTGCCATACCAGTGCACGGCCCGTTCGTAGCAGTAGTGGTTGACGAAGATGTACTGGTGTATGTCAAGGTTGTTCTTCCGTCCGTGCACCTCCCGGATGATGGGGCTGTAAAAGAAGAATTTGGATAGTCCATCTGTAGATGCTGTACAGACTATCAGTAACATTTCAACTAACTATCTACTAACCCTAGCTCTAACCCAAATACTATTTGAACCCTAAATGTAACCCTTATTCTAAACCTAACCCTAACCGTAACCTTAGCAAGAAGTTGCTTATCAACCGAATAAATTGTGACTAGATTACTTTATTGTCTGTGGTCAAAAGGACACAGAGATATGTATTTTTGCTTTATCTGGACACCAGAGTTCCCTACTAGGAGCTGGGATTCTAACCTCTAGCTCTAGGCTACCTACCTGACGGGCTTGACTAAGGTATGGTGCTCCCATGTCTCGTTCTCCTTGTGGCTGCGGATGTGGCTGCAGTCGATGGCCTCTGGAGTTGAGCTGGAGAAATGGCTGGGAAGGCAGGAAATCTTCTCCTGGGTGAGCTATGATGGAGAGAGGGAGGGAAAAAGAGAGAGAGAAGCAGAGTGAGTGGAAAACAGACAGTATAAATATGGCTCCCAATCAGAGATAACGAGCCGACAGCTGACACTCGTTACCTCCGATTGGGAGTCACTCAATACAAACATAGACATCGACAACCTAGACACCCAACATAGAACATGAACACATAGAATGCACACACCCTGGCTCAACATAATGAGTCCCAGAGCCAGGGTGTGACAGTACCCCCCCCTAAAGGCGCGGACTGCGACCGCGCCTCAAAAACCCCAAACAGGGGAGGGCTGGGCGGGCATACCTCCTCGGTGGCGGTTCTGGCTCCGGCCTTGACCACCACCCTACAATACACCCCCCAATGCGCCCCTGGTCCAGTCTGTCGACTCGCACCCCTGGCCTGGTGCGTGGAGGAGGAACGGGCCTTACCAGGCTGACGACGCGCACCCCTGGCCTGGTGCGTGGAGGAGGAATGGGCCTTACCAGGCTGACGACTCGCACCCCTGGCTTGGTGCGTGGAAGAGAGACGGGCCGGACCGGGCTGGCGACGCGCACCGTAGGTTTGGTGCGAGTGGCAGGAACAGGCCGGGTCGGGCTGGCGACGCGCACCGTAGACTTGGTGCGGGTGGCAGGAACAGGCCGGACCGGGCTGGCGACGCGCACCGTAGGTTTGGTGCGAGTGGCAGGAACAGGCCGGGACGGGCTGTCGACGCACACCGTAGACTTGGTGCGGGGAGCAGGACTGGGCTGGACAGGGCTGTCGACGCACACCGGAGACTTGGTGCGTAGAGCAGGAACAGGCCGGGCAGGGCTGTCGACGCACACCGGAGACTTGGTGCGTAGAGCAGGAACAGGCCGGGCAGGGCTGTCGACGCACACCGTGGACTTGGTGCGTGGAGCAGGAACAGGCCGGGCAGGGCTGTCGACGCGCACCGTAGGTTTGGTGCGAGTGGCAGGAACAGGCCGGGTCGGGCTGGCGACGCGCACCGTAGACTTGGTGCGGGTGGCAGGAACAGGCCGGACCGGGCTGGCGACGCGCACCGTAGGTTTGGTGCGGGTGGCAGGAACAGGCCGGACCGGGCTGGCGACGCGCACCGTAGGTTTGGTGCGGGTGGCAGGAACAGGCCGGGTCGGGCTGGCGACGCGCACCGTAGACTTGGTGCGGGTGGCAGGAACAGGCCGGACCGGGCTGGCGACGCACATCGTAGGCTTGCTGCGTGGAGCAGGGACAGGCCGAACCGGGCTGTGGAGACGGATAGGAGGCCTGGAGTGAAGAGCGGCCACCACCCGTCCTGGCTGAATGCCTGCCCTCACACACTCTGTGTGAGGCATCTGCACAGGACGTACAGGGCGGTGTACCCCTGGCCTGGTGGCCTCCTGGATTCGCCCCATCTTTGCCTCCGTCAGCCCCGTCGTCCATGCCGTGTGCCCCCCCCTAAAAATTTCTTGGGGTTGCCTCTCGACCCTCCGACGCTGCTCCCACGTCCAGGTTGCCTGTTCCTGGACACGCTGCTTGGTCCTTTGATGGTGGGTTTTTCTGTCACGATCGTCTAATGAGGGAGTGGACCAAAGCGCAGCGCGTTGAGCGAACATTACTTTATTTAATTAAAGTGCAACACGAAAACCACAAAACAAATGACGATACGAGAAGTCCACAGTGACAATGACTGTACAGGAACAAAAACCCACAACCCTAAGGTGAACACTGACAGTTTAAATATGGCTCCCAATCAGAGATAACGAGCCGACAGCTGACACTCGTTACCACTGATTGGGAGTCACACGACCAAACAAGGAAACAACCAAAATACAACACAACCAATACCAACCACCACCAAATGAACACACCCTGGCTCAAAATACACAGTCCCGGAGCCAGAGCGTGACAGTACCCCCCCCTAAAGGCGCGGACTCCGACCGCGCCTACACCCCAAATAGGGGAGGGCTGGGTGGGTGTTGCTCCTCGGAGGCGGCTCCGGCTCCGGGCTTGACCACCACCCTTCTTCAATCCCCCCGTAGCGCCCCCGGTCCGATCTGACCCAGCTGGTAGGATCTGGACTGACGACGCGCACCCCTGGCTTGGCGCGTGAGGCAGGAACGGACCGGACCTGGCCGACGATACGCACCCTAGGCTTGATGCGTGGATTCGGAACGGGCCTCACCAGGCTGACGACTCGCCTCCCTGGCTTGGTGCGAGTAGCAGGAATGGGCTGGATCAGGCTGACGGCTCGCACCCTTGGCTTGGTGCGAGTAGCAGGGACGAGCTGAACCAGGCTGACGACTCGCACCCTTGGCTTGGTGCGAGTAGCAGGAACGGGCTGAACCAGGCTGACGACTCGCACCCTTGGCTTGGTGCGAGTAGCAGGAACGGGCTGGACCAGGCCGACGACTCGTACCCCTGGCTTGGTGCGAGTAGCAGGAACGGGCTGAACCAGGCTGACGACTCGCACCCTTGGCTTGGTGCGAGTAGCAGGAACAGGCTGGATCCGGCTGACGACTCGCACCCTTGGCTTGGTGCGAGTAGCAGGAACGGGCCGGGCTGGGCTGGCGACGCACACGGTAGGCTCTGTGCGTGGAGCAGGAACAGGCCGGGCTGGGCTGACGACGCACACCGTAGGTTCTGTGCGTGGAGCAGGAACAGGCCGGGCTGGGCTGGCGACGCACCCCGTAGGCTTTGTGCGTAGAGCAGGAACAGGCCGGGCTGGGCTGGCGACGCACACCGTAGGCTTTGTGCGTAGAGCAGGAACAGGCCGGGCTGGGCTGGCGACGCACACCGTAGGTTTTGTGCGTGGGGCAGGAACAGGCCGGGCTGGGCTGGCGACACACCCCGTAGGCTTTGTGCGTAGAGCAGGAACAGGCCGGGCTGGGCTGGCGACGCACACCGTAGGCTTTGTGCGTAGAGCAGGGACAGGCCGGGCTGGGCTGGCAACGCGCACCATTAACTTAGTGCGTGGAGCAGGGACAGGCCTCACCGGACTGTGGAGACGGATAGGAGACCTGGAATGAAGAGCGGCCACAACCCGTCCCGGCTGAATGCCTACCTTCACACACTCTGTGTGAGGCATCCGCACAGGACGTACAGGGCTGTGTACCCGTACCGACATGACAGCACGTGATACTGGAGCAGGATATCCGGGACCGCGGAGAGGCATAGGAGACCACGAGCGTTGAGCCGGCACACTCCGTCCTGGCTGCATACCCCCCTTCGCACGACACGTGCGGGGTGCTCGCACAGGACGTACAGGACTGTGCCGGACCACTCGTGGCACCGTACGCTGCTCCGCATACCGCGGAACCTGCCCCGTCCCATGCTGCCATGCCTGAGTACGGGAAGTTGGTTCCGCTCTCCATCCCGGCCTCGCCAACCTGCCTTCTGGCCCCCAAAACCCGGTGGCCTCCTCTCCGAATTGCCCTGTGGCAGCCTCCTGCTGCCCAGCCGCCCAAGCCATGTGCCCCCCCCCAAATTTTTTTTGGGGTTGCCTCTCGTCCGTCCGACGATGGCCCTGCTGACGCCGTTGCTCCTCTCTCGCCAGGGCCTTGATCCTACCCCAAGGTCCCTTGCCCCCGAGCATGTCCTCCCAGGACCACGATTTGCCCACCTGGGCCATCGCCAGCCTCTCGATCTCCTTACCCGGCGCTTCCTCCCATGTCCAGCCTCCTTGCTCCTGGACACGCTGCTTGGTCCTTTTACGGTGGGTTTTTCTGTCACGATCGTCTGGGTAAGGAGTAGTAGACCAAGGCGCAGCGTGTGAAATAAACATGACTTTATTTAATTAAAGCACGAAAACCAAAACAAAACACGACTCGTGAAGTCCAACGGTTAACATACCGACACGGAACAAAAACCCACAACCCCAAGGTGAAAACAGACAGTATAAATATGGCTCCCAATCAGAGATAACGAGCCGACAGCTGACACTCGTTACCTCCGATTGGGAGTCACTCAATACAAACATAGACATCGACAACCTAGACACCCAACATAGAACATGAACACATAGAATGCACACACCCTGGCTCAACATAATGAGTCCCAGAGCCAGGGTGTGACAGAGTGCTATTGGAAAGATTAGGCAATGGAACAACATGCAGAGTAGCCTACGGCTAATCACCTACATAACATAAGGCTTAGATTTTTGGGATCTATTTCTTTCCTGTTCCAGTTGATATCTAACAGACATGGGTTCAAATAGTATTGGTTTTCTTTGAACCCAGGTCTGATATCAACCAATGATTAAGATCGTGTGATGAGAAGATGACATATTAAATACGGAGTTTGTGACCTGATTCCAGGGGAAACACTGGTCGATTTAGCAGCGGCGGTGCTAAATGCATATAGGGGAAACACTGGTTAATGTGTCTCTGTTTTCCCTTCCCACTTGGAGGTCACCACCACTGATAAGAATGCTTTGGTACATGGCAGGAGTAGATTCAAACAGGACACACTAATCAAATCTAAAATGTTTTCAGAATCCAGGGCCAAAGGCTTTCTCTATATGATTGTACGTTAATTCGCGTTTTAAATTGTCCTCACATATTTACATTTACATTTACATCATTTAGCAGATGCTCTTATCCAGAGCGACTTACAAATTGGTGCATTCAACTTATGATAGCCAGTAGGACAACCACTTTTTTTTTTTTTTTTGAATTTATTTAGGGCACAATTATATTTCATTTACATAAGGTAAGTAATGCCATGTATTTTAATTTCATATACTGTAGGCACACCTATTCTTATCGCTACAGGCTACACACTGCCAAAATCTGTCAAGATCCAACAGTTCCATTAGGTGCTTACATTCAGCTGTTGCAATGATGCCCCGGGGGCTAATGTGCTTTAATGACGCACTCCAGCTACCTTTTGAAATGTTCCTGTTGAAAAACAATATCCCAAGTATAAATACAGTAATATACACACTTAAGGGTAAAAAAAAATAGCTTCAAGGGTTGGCCATCATTACTCTGACTGATGTCATCGGCCTCCATAGCCACAGGAAGTAAAGGTGCTGAGGGTGCTGTAGCACCCACTGATAAATCACAAGAAAAAATAAAAGAATATTATATGAAAAATATCCCCCAACACCCCCGATTAGAACGGTGCCTTCAGAAAGTATTCACACCCCTTGACTTTTTCAAGTGTTACAGCCTGAATTTAAAATTGATTAAATTAAGATTTTTGTGTCACTGGCCTACACACAATACCCCATAATGTCAAAGTGGAATTATGTTATTTATCTTACAAATTAATACAAAATGAAAAGCTGAAATGTCTTCAGTGAATAAGTACTCAACCCCTTTGTTATTGCTAGCCTCAATAAATTCAGGAGTACAAATCTGCTTAACAAGTCACATTATAAGTTGCATGGACTCACTCTGTGTGCAATAATAGTGTTAAACATGATTTTTGAATGACTACCTCATCTCTGTACCCCACACATCCAATTATCTCTAAGGTCCCTCAGTCGAGCAGTGAATTTCAAAGACAGAAACCAGGGAGGTTTCCCAATGGCTTGTAAAGAAGGGCACCAATTGGTAGATGGGTAAAAATAAAATAAAAAACAGACGTTGAATATCCCTTTGAGCATGGTGAAGTTATTATTTACACTTTGGATGGTGTATCAATACACCCAGTCACTACAAAGATACAGGTGTCCTTCCTAACTCAGTTGCTGGAGAAAAAGGAAACCACTCAGGGATTTCACCATGAGGCCAATGGTGACTTTAAGACAGTTACAGAGTTTAATGGCTGTGATAGGAGAAAACTGAGGATGGATCAACAACATTGTAGGTACTCCACAATACTAACCTTATTAACAGAGTGAAAAGAAGGAAGCCTCTACAGAATAAAAATATTCCAAAACATGCATCCTGTTGGCAACAAGGCACTAAAATAAAACTGCAAAAGAAAATTGGAAAAGCAATACACTTTTTTTCCTGAATACAAAGTGTTATGTTAGGGAAAAATCCAATACAACACATTATTGAGTACCACTCTCCATATTTTCAAGCATAGTGGTGGCTGCATCATAATAATAATAATAATAATAATAATAATAATATGCCATTTAGCAGACGCTTTTATCCAAAGCGACTTACAGTCATGCGTGCATACATTTTTTTTTTTTTTTTTTTTTGTATGCTTGTAATTGTTAAGGACTGGGGATTTTTCAGGATAAAAAATAAAAGGAATGGAGCTAAGCACAGGCAAAACCCTAGAGGAAAACCTGGTTCAGTCTGCTTTCCACCAGGCACTGGGAGATGAATTCACCTTTCAACAGGTAAATAACCTAAAACACAAGGCCAACTCTACACTGGAGTTGCTTCCCAAGAACACATTTTTTTATTTAATCAATTTTGAATTCAGGCTTTAACAACAAAATGTGGAAAAGTCAAGGGGTATGAATACTTTCTGAAGGCACCGTACTTATCATAGAATTAAAACGTATACCTTCAAGGTATTGTATAGGGGTCATTAATTGGTGGTTAGTTTGTATGAGTTTAGTCTTACCTGTAAGGTGCATCCGAACACTCCGATCATGAGCATGGCGATACATAGGTATTCCGAGAACACGTCCCACCATGGCTTTAGAACCCGGAACTCTGGGTTCTGTGATGAGGCAAAGTTCCGAAACTCAGTTACTGGTATCATCCTGATCACTGTAGCAAAGTGAGGAAGAAGAGGAGGAGGCAGAAAGAATGAGGAAGTGACCAGTTGAGGATTAAACCAAAAATAAGCATATCATAAACAACATATTACTATATCATAAAGTATGGCTTTAGTTATAGTCACTATATTACAACATATATATGTTTAAGGTTATAGTAAGCCCACCCCACAATAGAAAACGCAGGTTGACGTTTATTGTCATGAATTTTGCCCTGGAGGCAGAACCGAGTGATTTCCGCATGGCCAGCTGCAAAGTCAAAATCGGCTATATTGTAAAAATTCATGAAGACAAAAATGATCTTTTTGGTCTATATTTAAAGTTAGGGATTAGGGATAAAATCAGGTTTGATGTCTTGTGCCAGCTAGTGACCACTCTACAGAGCTGCCTACAGGGTGCCCCAGTATCTGTGAGTTAGAAACCTCTAGCGCCCAGGAAGCTCCGATTCAATCTCCCATTCACCAACTCTGAAACGTTATAATGTCAAAATATGTTTGTTACTCACCAAAGAGTTTTGCTGAGCAACTATCTTCATTTACCACCGTTACGGCCGGTATGTGCTTTCGAAAAAAGGTGTAAATAAAAATGTACAAGCAACCTTTTTTGGAAGTGCATACCGGCCATAACGGGAGTAAATGAAGATAGTTGCTCAGAGAACATTTTCTGAATAACGAACGTACACTCAATAGCCAATTTATAGGTACACCCATCTAGTACCGGATCGGACCCCCCTTTGCCTCCACAGCAGCCTGACTTTTTCGGGGACATGGCGTTCAATCGTTGCTCAATTGCTATCGAAGGATCTAACATTTGCCAGGAAAAACTTCCCCACACCAGTACACCACCAGCCTGTACCGTGACACCAGGCAGGATGAGGCCATGGACTCATGCTGCTTATACCAAATCCTGACTCTGCCATCAGCATGATGCAACAGGAACCGGGATTCGTCGGACCAGGCGATATTTTTCCAGTCCTCATTTGTTCAGTGTTGGTGATCGCGTGCCCACTGTTTTTAGCTGATAGGAGTGGAACCCGGTGTGGTCGTCTGCTGTAATAGCCCATCCGTGACAATGATCGACGAGTTGTGCGTTCTGAGATGCCATTCTGCATACCACTGTGGTACTGCGCCGTTATTTGTCTGTTTGTGGCCCGCCTGTTAGCTTGCACCATTCTCTGTAAACTCTAGACACTGTCGTGCGTGAAAGCCCCAGGAGGGCGGCCGTTTCTGAGATACTGGATCCGGCGTGCCTGGCACCGACGATCATACCACACTCAAAGTCGCTTAGGTCACTTGTTTTGTCCATTCTAACGTTCAATCGAACAGTAACTGAATGCCTCGATGCCTGTCTGCCTGCTTTATATAGCAACCCACGGCCACGTGACTCACTGACTGTAGGAGCGATCCATTTCGTGAACTGGGTGGTGTGCCTAATAAACTTGCCACTGAGTATATTTTGACATTATGCCGCTTGCAGAGCTGGTGAATGGGAGTTTTAATCTGAGCTTTCTGGGCATTAGAGAGGTCTCTAATGCACAGATATCCAGGAGACCTCCAGGGCAAGATTAATGACACTAAATGCCAACTACTTAGAAAACTCATCTGACACAAAGACTGGATTATAAGCAACATGTCTCTACCTGATAATAACCAATAATTTAGGAAGAAAGATTTATTTAGAGTTTTCGAAAGGGGTTGGGGAGGGAATAGAATGTGTTTCTCCTGATGTGTCTCCTACAGTATCTATGAGCCTTGCATGGAAAAATGAGGGGCTGTCCTGTAGCCGGTACTGTAGTCCAAAGTGGATAAACTACGCTGAACAAAAACATAAACGCAACATGTAAAGTGTTGGTCCCATGTTCCATGAGCTGAAATAAAAGATCCCAGAAATGTTCCATACGCACAAAAGGCTTATTTCTCTCAAATGTTGTGCACAAATTTGTTTACATCCCTGTTAGTGAGCATTTCTCCTTTGTCAAGATAATCCATCCACCTGACAGGTGTGGCATACAAGAAGCTGATTAAACGGCATGATCATTACACAGGTGCACCTTGTGCTGGGGACAATAAAAGGCCACTCTAAAATGTGCAGTACACAATTCCTAGAAGCTGAAAATGTCCCAGTTCTTCCATGGCCTGCATACACACCAGACATGTCACCCATTGAGCATGTTTGGGATGCTCCAGGTTGACGTGTACGACAGCGTGTTCCAGTTCCCGTCAATATCCAGCAACTTCGCAGAGCCATTGAAGAGGAGTGGAACAACATTCCACAGGCCACAATCAACAGCCTGATCAACTCTATTAGAAGGAGATGTGTCGCGCTACATGAGGCAAATGGTGGTCACACCAGATACTGACTGGTTTTCTGAACCACGCCCCTACCTTTGTTTTAAAGGTATCTGTGACCAAAAGATGTATATCTGTATTCCCAGTCATGTGAAATCCTTAGATTTGGGCCTAATGAATTTATTTAAATTGACTGATTTCCTTCTATGAACTGTAACTCAGTAAAATCTTAGAACTTGTTGCATGTTGCATTTATATTTTTGTTCTGTATAGTATGACAATACAACAACGGCTGATCAACAAAGAGAGGTCTCTCTCTTTAAGGAAAGTGATACAGTTGAGGTAATCATATCTTGGGTGTTCACTGTTGGTATAAGCCTCTAAATTCAAGAGGTCCATGACCATTTCACAACAGGCTTAGTAATGTTGTCTCCCACGTGTCAGTGGATTTAATAGCCTAGCTAATGACTGAGAATGCAACTATTTCATTCTGAAAACTTTACTTATATTGACCAAAACTATGAACATTTCAACATGCTTTGTGAAAGTAGCTTACACTTTTATAGGGTAGCCAGCCTATAACTTATCCTATAAGTAATAAAACGGACACTTTATGACACATGTATTACAGTGCACTACCCAATGAATCAGGAAAACACAGACTATTGCACATGAGCCAATTGATTTTACAGTTCGTTATCGCCACCGCCATACCTTCTGAGAAAAACACCTGTCAGACAAAATTGAAGACCTCATCTTCGTTTACAAAAGTATAGGCTTAGACTATAAATTCACATAAACTCTTTTCAAAACAATTCATAGGAGTTATTTTTTAAGTTCAAATGTATTAAAGATAAAGAATACGTTTAAAGAACCAAAAGTTCTCATATATTTCTGATATGAATTGTTTCAGAGCGGGCAATTTACCTGAGCTCGTGCGAGATCCACAGGGGGAGGGGGGTAGTCCGCGAGTTGCTCTCCTAAAAGAAAGTATCAGAACGCCGACGCATTGCTGCCGGGCAAGTGAATAGGCTATTGATGCCGGGAAATCCTTCTTGTTTTCGGCTTTTAGTCGATGACAACATGGACCCAAGTTTAAGTTTGAGATAGTTGTTTGAGTGTGAGGTGTCGTTTAGTAGCCTACCACGCCACACATGATTGTCGAAGTCCATACAGGTAATACAAGCCTTCTGCCTCCTAAAACACGTACGACGCATCGACGCTCAATCTTCCTTTGACTGGCCCACCCAGTGACAGTCATGCCAACAAAAAAAAAATCAACGGATGTGTCAATGTTTTGCTTACACAGGCTATTAAATAAGAATGTCACCTTGACATTGATCTAGAATAAAGAGAAGTACATCATCATTATTATTCAGCATGTTTTGTTTCTTTCTTGGTCTGTATAATAATTTCTAGGCAGGAAAGTAGCCTAGCTGTCGCTAAGGAAACTCAACTCCATTAATTTCAATGGAGCCGAGTTGCGATGAGTGCCGGCAGTGTACCTCTGACTACATCGAGTCGGAATCAGTCGATACTTACAAAAATGCCCATTCTTTAATGTTTACCTTGTACCTATGTTTGTCCTGTGTAACTGCATTCCTTTATTTGGGTGCTGCAATCAGCAGATTTTTTTTATAAAAATAGCATTTTACCGACCCCCACCAAGGGAGCCGTTGTTAATGGAGAAGGAGCAGCTCAGTTTTGGCAGGGGATGCATAGAAAGCAATGTTTTAAATCAAAAACGATGCATTGCAACTCCCACTGACAACTCTATAACAATCAGGACAAGCACAGGTACACAGTTAGCATTAAATAATTGATCTTTATAAAAGTAACCAGAAGACTGGTAGTGCATGTTTGAAGTGGTAAACTTCATACATTTCGCAGCGCAATTTGACAGACATCACATAGAATGCTATTTTTTTTGCAAAAACTACAGATTAGCAACACCCAAAGAAAATAACGCAGATCACCATGCGCAATGCCAGTGTCGGCTTGAGTGGTGTAAAGCTAGCCTCTAATGGACTGGAGTAGTAGAAACACGTTCTCTGGAGTGATGAATCAGCTTCACCATCTGGAAGTCCCGACAGACAAATATGGGTTTGGCGGATGCCAGGAGAAGGCTACCTGCCCCAATGCATTGTACTAACTGTAAAGTTTGGTGGAGGAGGAATAATGGTCTGGGGCTGTTTTTCATGGTTCGGGTTAGGCCCCTTAGTTCCAGTGAAGGGAAATCTTAACGCTACAGCATACAATGACATTCTAGACGATTCTGTGCTTCCAACTTTGTGGCAACCGTTTCGGGAAGGCCCTTTCCTGTTTCAGCATAACAATGCCCCCATGGACAAAGCGAGGTCCATACAAAAATGGTTTGTCGAGATCGGTGTGGAAGAACTTGACTGGCCTGCACAGAGCCCTGACCTCAACCCCATCGAACACATTTGGGATGAATTGGAACGCCGACTGCAAGCATTTTACATTTTACATTTTTGTCATTTAGCAGACGCTCTTATCCAGAGCGACTTACAGTTAGTGAGTGCATACATTATTTTGTTTTGATTATTTTTTTAAATATATATTATTTTTTTTATACCCCCCTTGGGAATCGAACCCACAACCCTGGCGTTGCAAACACCATGCTCTACCAGCTGAGCTACATCCCTGCCGGCCATTCCCTCCCCTACCCTGGATGACGCTGGGCCAATTGTGCGCCGCCCCATGGGTCTCCCGGTCGCGGCCGGCTACGACAGAGCCTGGATTCGAACCAGGATCTCTAGTGGCACAGCTAGCACTGCAAGCCAGGCCTAATCGCCCAACATCTGTGCCCAACCTCACTAATGCTCTTGTGACTGAATGGAAGCAAGTCCCCGCAACAATGTTCCAACATCTAGTGGAAAGCCTTCCCAGAAGAGTGGAGGCTGTTATAGCAGCAAAGGGCGGACCAAATCCATATTAATGCCCACGATTTTGGAATGAGATGTTCGATGAGCATGTGTCCACATACTTTTGGTCATGTAGTGTATATGGAGTTGAGTTTAGGCTACTGTTCTAAATCTACTGTAGCCCAGTGCCTATTTGGCATTCCGCTGACAGATTCACCAAGGGAATGCAAAATGTCAAGTCATCATGAATGGCCTGTACTTACTATTAATTACTGGGGTTATAGCCTACAGCTTGTAGTTACATAATAAAATAAGAAATAATATTGAACAAATATGAAACATTAAACCATTAATAATAAAATATGTAAACTATGAATGTTATTTTGCTAATTTAATCCAAAATCCACATCAATGTCATCATCAATAACTGGTATGACGAAAATCTGTGTTTAGGCGCCATCTTGTGGCAACATGATGCAGACCACAGAGTTTCTAAACCCAGAGGAGCAACATCGCGAGACTTCTGGGAACGCTTGCGAATCAGACCAGGCCGGGGTTTGGCCTTAGAGAAGTCAATGAGAGAAGTGAAACATTCTTCCTTAGTTGTACATTTTTTCGAAATGTAAAAGGCACAACCTAGATTCGAGCCAATGTCTTAAGTAGTTGAGCATGTTATTACTCTAACCTCGTGAAATTGACAAACTGACAAGTTTTCATTTTCGTAAAAACTTTATAGCGAAGGCCGTGCCTTTAATTTGAAGGCCTGCACATGCGCAGTTCTGCGTGAGACGACCGTTAGACCCGAAGACGTGTTCTGCGCATGAGTTTAGCCAGCCAAAGTCGCCATGACGTCGCCTACAAGCGTGATCGGGGATTTCTATTGGATTAGCAGTTTCTGCCCATCTTCGTACTGTCTTTGTGCAGACACTCCCTGATCAGGGCCCGGTATCCCAAAAAGCATTAAGGCTAAATTCATCAATGGTTCTAACGATGAATTTAGCTTTAAGATGCTTTTGGGAATCCGGATCCAGGTGCCTTTCTCTCAAAGCTAATTGGAGTATTGCTAAACTAGGATCAGATCACCCTGTTAATCTTATTCATTATGATCAAAAAGGCAAAAACGTATCCTATATCAGCACTCCTAAAATCAGATGCTGTGTGAATACGAGCCCAGAACTGGGATTTCGACAAAGAAACATATGCCACGGTTAAAATAAACATTATTTTAATATACAATGTGTTTTGTACAGTGTGTGTTTGCTGAAAAATGTACAAAGCATTTCTTTATTCTATTACATTTGTTTTAACTTCTGAGAAGAGGAAAAAAAGTCCCTTTCAAAAGAGGCAACATATCTTTACAAATGTTCAAATTTAGGCATTCAACAGGCATGCCTAAATACAATGCATGCTGCTCATTATCAGGAAAACAACAATATCAGAGTCCAATTTTAATACAAAGTCGTTGTTGTCAGTCAAAGCAAACAAGGCCAGAAAATGAATAAATAAAAAACGTCACCTCTTAAATTCTTCTGTACAAGACTCTATTGGAATAGAATATCAATGTACAAAACATCACTAAAAACTTAGTTTAAACCGCTGTTACAAATACATTTCTTTAAGTAGCCCTTCCTAAATGGCACCCTTTTCTCCATTTAGTTTTGGCTGGCTCCGGCCCACTGACATTTTCTTCTCCATCCATAGAGCAGCGGAATTCAATTCAGCGTGAGTCATCAGGCAATATTTAGTGCACAACTCTTGATAAGGGCCCATAGGGCTCTGGTCAAACGTAGTGCACGACATAGGGAATAGGGTGCCATTTGGGACTTACCCTTTCCTTTCCTTCTCATTTAGTGACATTATCAATGTGACTTAATCCACAACAATGGTCACTTGATTTGTGGTTTGGCCAGATGTGTGTACAAGTGTTAAAACCCAATAGCAATCGCAAGGGGAGTTTGGAGATATATTTGTGTGTAATGTTTAAACATTCATTGACACTTTTGTCCTCATGGGCGGACCTTGTGAGTTTCCTACTCTAAAAACGATTCAGTGCTACAGTATTCTCATTCTCTTTATGATTGGTTTGCGACGGTATTGAGCCGATAGTATCTAGACTCAGTCTTGGGGCTCTCTAGGCGTACTTCGACCACTGTAGGCTAAGTCTCCAACCCTTGGCCCAAGCACCAACGCACTTTCTTGCCACCTCAGGCACCAGAGAGTGGTCTGTATACTGATGATGGTAATCATGCCAGCAGGCATAGTAATTAATGGCACTTTGCATTAGGAAAACCCTAAAATTCCCCATGTCCACAGACGTTGCCAAACGTACTACAGATGTAGGATCTTTAATTTGAGAGTTTGCTACAGCAGGAAAATAATCCTGCAGCAACAGGAAATGTGAATTATGTGGATTATAATTAATGGACATTTTTGTGTAGGGGTTGATACATTTTTCGTTAGGGCAAATCAAATCTGACATTTAAAGTGGAAATTACAAACTTTAGAAGCCTTTTTAAACCTTGAATACACTACACATTTGCATTTACTGCTGTGCAGGAAAATTCTCAGCAACGGGTACTTTGTCTTACAAGTACGTTGTCTTTTTGTTGTTGAAAGTATGCAATTTTGTATATTTCTTCCCCTCCCCAAAATATTTGGTTTACCTGCACAGGCTGGTCTTGAAATAGAAAAAAGTGACTACTAATTCAGTAGACAGAGGTTAGTTAGTAGCCTTTCAAATATATTGTACAGCCCTTTCTCCTCTTGGTGTAGACCAGGGAAACATTGGTCATTGGTCCAAGGGGGCGCTATAATGCTACTGTGGTGGTATGGGATGGAGCACATAGAAGTAGAGTAGAACAGATGAAACAATCTAGAACTCCTATTTCTATGACTTTGCCCATCTGCATTGTTCTCACAGGAACAGTGAGTGAATCAACGTGCTGGATCATAAACTATATCAAATCAAACAATTTATCATTAAACAACTTGTCACACATGACTGAAGTTGTGTGAAACCAACAGGGCTAGGGAGGGCCTCTGCGATCTTGTGTTTTTCAGAAGACCTGTGTTTCTGTTTTCTATTCAAGGTGGGGGCACTTTTCCATGGAAGACTGAGGACTGAAGAAGACTCAGCCAGGGATGGTGGCGAGCGTACGACTCAAGTCCCCTTGCCGAAGGCACCGTGTCTGGAGTTATGGTACGAACCCTCCTGTCCCTGAACACCCTAAACTACCACCCTCACAACCGCCAGTGACCTCCGTCCTCTCATGCTTCAGACACTGGGCCAGGTCCTTTTGGCAGGGCTCCATGGTAACAGCCACGCCCACGCCACTGCGGCCCGACATCATGCGGGTCACCTCCGACCACGTGTCGGTCTCCGGGTCATAACACTCCACGCTGTCCAGGAACGTGTTCCCGTCATAACCTCCTGTAGAACGGGGGAGGAGAGGAGAATCACTCTTTAGGACATATGATGGGATTTATAACACTTTTATAACATAAGAGAATTGTATCTCAAATGTAAATAATAATACATGTATTTTATGCTTTTCATTACATGTTGAATCTCAAAGCCGCTTTAAAAACAAACCAAACAAACAAATTTAACAAAACAAAATGGAGGATCTGGCAGTTATTGGGCGATGGTCTTCCACAGCTTTAGATGATAGGCAGTTCAGAAAGGTAGTATCATGAGCGGATGGAGCATTGATGGTACAGCCTGGCAGGGAGGTAGAGACATCTGACAGACCGGCCATGGAGCTCTTCATCGGGCACCTCGTCGTCTTCGATGTTCACAGCTCCTCCTCTGTAGATCAGGCTGGATCGTCCACTACTGAAATGTAGCACGCGCCTGGGTGATGCTTCGGCCACTGTAAAAGTGCCAGTAAGACCACCACACCTCAGCAGTAGTCCTGAAAAGCCCCCTACGACGCGAGCCTCTGCACCACCTCCCTCTAGGAACTGGAGCAGGAGGCCAAAAAGCTGATGTTGACCAGGTGTTGCTGCTGCATTATACAAATCGAGCAACTGTCAAATATAAACTGACTTGCCATAATCAGTCCTGCAATTCCAGGGGTCACCACCAGATATATTACGTCTCAAATTATCAAAAAAAAAAGTTCATAAAAAATTTTTTTCACACAAAAAACACTTTAAAAAATAAGACATGCTCTCTCTATGTCACCCCACTTGAGACTGTAAAACTAAAAGTGACCTAAAATCTGTAGTACTAAATACTGCTACTGCACATCATTTGGGGGTTGATTCTGTCATAGTAGGCAAGACTAGAAATGTATCAGCTAAAACACATGGGTATTTGGGGCGGCCTCTAGGGCTTTGTTTACGGCGTTCAAAGAAAGAATTCTTGCACCGAAGCAAATTACTCATAATTACACTGGAGCATTGTTGCACTGGCAACAGTTTTTACAATACCCACCCAGTACATAGATCTTCCCATGGTGCGCGGTGACCCCCAGGGCAGAGCGCCGGTGCCTCATGGAGGCTGCAAAGCTCCAGGTGTCAGTCTCAACGTCGTAGCGCTCCACTGTGTTCAGCTGGTTGGTGCCGTCGTAGCCCCCCATCACGTAGATACGGTTCCCCAGCGCACACACACCTGATGTGTCAAAGTTCATCATTAGAAGGCCCTTCTTGACACAGGTGGGACTTTAGGCCTACACACAGGTTTCACTCTGATTCTCTACCCTTCACCCAAAAAAGTGCATTTAAAATCCATTTGAAAACATTGGATTTGTGTAAGCATGGCTGGAGAGTTTCCACCATATTCCTTACACCTGTCCACGCCTTTTAAATAAATGAAGGGGCGTGTAAGCGCACACTTCGGGAGAAGGGTAGAGAATCAGACCATAAATTCTGTCCAAAGTCAGTGTGCCCCCTTTGTTCCTCACCTGCTCCAGAGCGCACAGTGTTCATGGCAGACATGCTCTTCCACTCATCTCTCTCTGGGTTGTAACACTCTGAGGAGGAGAGGCGGTGGGTGCCGTCGAACCCCCCCACCGCGTACAGCAGCCGGTTGATCACCGCCACGCCCACCCCGATACGCCGCGTCAACATGGGGGCCACCAGGTGCCACTGGTCCCTGTCCGGGTCATACCTGAGGAGGAGTGGAGAGACAGACACTGTTAGTCAGACACACTGACAAAACCTGCGGAGCAGGATCGAGACAGAATCAACCAACTGGACTATATTTAGGTTGGAAAATTGTGACATCAAAGTAATTTCTTCCTGGTCTATTTTCAGGCACAATCAACAAATACTTTCCTTGAGATAAAAATAATAATACTGTATATACTTCCTTGTATAAAATATGTTAAGTTCCATATCAATACGTCACTTTGTTCCGCACAAAATACCAAGTCCTATGACGCCAAGGGCACTGTTCCAATCCTACATATCTAACCAATCATAACCCCAATCTAAGGACACAAAACGCAACTCCCGCTTCCTTCATCAAACCTCCCAATCAGATCTCAGTTCTACTAACCTCTCCACGCTGTTATGATGAATACATCCATGCGACCCTCCAACAGCATAGATCATCCCGTCAATCACCCCCACTCCTATCCTGTTCCTTGGTACACTCATGGGAGCACAAGGCAACCAGCAGTTGTTCATGGGATTATACAAATCCAACGTGTTGGAGTCCATATTCCCGTCAGGAGCGTTGTTCCTTCCTCCAACAGCGTAGAACAGCCCAGAGATGACCACGGCGGCCAGGCCACTCCGGGGGACCTGAAGGTCAGCTAGCCTCAGCCAGGACCCGGTACAGGGGTTGTAGGCTTCCAGGTAGGACAGGGACTGGCGGAAGTACCCCCCTGCCGTGTAGATGAGCTGGGGCACCTTGGGCGTGCGGCACGATATCACCTAGGAGGACCACAAAAATCAATCAATCGATCAATCAGGAGATTACCTTGGAGGAAAATACGTGTTGGAAATAAGTTCTGTTGTATAATGTTATCATCTTCTGGGTTTTGTACTTTTTAAACTTAATTTAAAATCAAGGTTCTTGGCATCATCAGGAAACAGTATTGGATGTTAAGTGCTAGATACAGCAGCAAGGTCATTGATGTAAATCAGAAACAACAAGGGTCCAAATGGAAAGGAGGGTTTTGTACTTTTTAACTGTACCATTAAAAAAACGTTCTAAAAAACTATATCAACCACCCATCCATCTCACCTTGGTGGGCTTGTGGAGGGTGAGATCCTGGAAGATCTGAGCCAGGTAGTCTTTACACTGGTCGTCCCACTCCAGAGACTGCAGCTGGGCTTGGAGGAAGTGTGGGGTGAGGGAGTGGCACCGCACTGCCTGGAGCAGGGCCTGGACATAGGGCCGCCGGTTCTCCCGGTCGTACCGGACCCACGCCACACAAGCCTGAAAAACCACTGACTCACAGCGCACGTTGAGTTCGTCACGGCTGATGAGGGTGACCAGCTGGCATTGGGAGAGGTTGAAGAACTCCTCCTGGGTCGCCACCTAAAGGGGAGAAGGAGGAAAAGAAGGAGACCGTTTTAGACAGGCATCACTTGGTCGCCCGTCTAAAATGAAGTCATGGAGAATAACAAGGAATTATTGGATATGGGGCATGGGCAACTGTTAGGCTTTTAGAATTAAAAGGGGAGTAACAAAGCATTTTGGAGAAAACAATATTCAATGAGTACACTGAAGCACACAGTACACCTCTGGTATTCATCTTATTATGACTCATGATCATTATTTTGGGGGTGTGTGTGTGTGTGTATATATGTGTGAATCAGTGATCTTTGTAGAACATATGAGATACCTCTCTTCCTGGTAACCAGCCAGCCAACCAGCCAACCATGTTAAGTTTCAGTCTGACTCCCAGTGAAGTTATGCAGACTGACTGCTAGTACATTGAACATACAGGTAAACCCCATGAGCCCGCCCACACGACTCACCCATTCCACACATTGCTCACCCAAGGCACGCACAAAAACTAACCCAACACACACTCACCTAACCCACTACCACACAATAGCACAGGGCGATTATTCATGTTGAGTGTTCACCAAGGGCCAATGCAGAAAAGACAGACTACAGAAACAAAGATGGTGTACAGACCAGCTGAGACTATTTGCTTAGTAATAACACACTGTGGTGCAGGTGGTGATGCACCACCCTAGCAAAGCCTTGATGTTTCCCTTAACTAAACACAGTGATTCAGTTGAGGAAACAGTCTCTGGCTTTTCAAAGACACCAGTTACAGTAAGGAACTACAGATCATCTTTATAGCAGCTGAATGGTCTGACACAGTGACAGTGAAATATAATATAATAATAATAATAATAATATATAATGCCATTTAGCAGACGCTTTTATCCAAAGCGACTTACAGTCATGTGTGCATACATTTTTACATATGGGTGGTCCCGGGGATCGAACCCACTACCCTGGCGTTACAAGCGCCATGCTCTACCAATTGAGCTACAGAGGACCACAATGAAACTAATGATAAGGTTGACTGAATGACTCATCCATATCAAATCGAGATTAGGAGAGCTGAACAGTATCGGCTTGAATCAATTCAACTGATCAGAGACAGGCAACGTGGTTATTTCCTGGAAAAACCCATAGGGCATATGGAAAGGTTAAGGAGCAAAGTGTCATGGTGAAACACTTGGTATCATCAACATGCTCTGGATACTGGAACTCCAGCTGCAGCCCAATTCAGTATCCTTCTCTCCGAAGTGTGCACTTGTTCACTCCCTTCATGAGTTTAAAAGGATTCTACCTCTATGGTTTGGGGAAATCGCAAAACCCAAATAACTATTTTTTTAGGCAAAGCTGATCCTGAATCAATTATGAGGGGGGAAAGCTAACGGGATGTGTGTATTTTAAAGGGATTGTTCGGGATTTTGGCAATGAAGCCTGTTATCTACTTCCCCAGAGTCAGATGAACTTGTGGATACCATGTTATGTCTCTGTGTCCAGTATGAAGGAAATTAGAGGTAGTTTTGCGAGCCAATTCTAACTAGCTTAGTGAAAAGACGGGAAGTCTTCGGGTACAGCTAGCATGCTAGTTAGCATTGGCTTGCGAAACTACCTCTAACTTCCTTCATACTAAATTAGATGCAGAGACATAAAAATAGTATCCACGAGGTCATCCGACTCTGGTGAGGTAGATATTTGCTAAAAACCCGAACTATCCCTTTAAGGCTGTAACGTAACAAAATGTAGAAAAAGTCAAGAGGTCTGAATACTTTCCGAATGCACTTTATCTACGCCACATACCTGGCTGAAGTTCATGTAGATATATTCCCGGGCTTTCTGGTGGAGCTCCGTGCAGCTGATCTGCTCGGCGAAGCTGGCTATGCCGATGGCGTTGCTAGGGTCCAGCTGTGTAACCAGGAAGTCGCAGCAGGCCTTGACCACACTGTCGATCTGGTACATGACGGCGCCGTTCATGACGTGGATCACACACTTCTCCCCCACAGAGATGCTGGCCGTGTAGGCAAACTCTATCAGCCTGCCCATTACCTGAGAGAAAGGAAGAGAAAAGATTGGAGATGGAGAGAAGAGATGGGGAAAGGAAAGAGTAAAGGAAAGGGGGTGGGAGGGCAGGAGAGAGAGAGAGAGAGAGAGAAGAGAGGAGAGAGAGAGAAAGAAGAGAGAGAGAGGTGGGAGAAATATTGAATGAGACGAGAGTAGAGCCACAGTTAGACAAGATCAAGGAGAAAACAAGGACAGAAAGGGGTTGATTCATTTTTATTATTATCGTTGCATGAGGGTCCAGACTGACACAAACTGCCTCAGTATTGAGGAACTACACAATCAAATAAAACTCATCTAAATTGTATTTGTCACATGCGCCGAATAAAACTTTACCGTGAAATGCTTAGTTACGAGTCCTTTCCCAACAATGCAGAGTTAAAAAGTAAGACAATTAGCAAATAAAAATTGAAAATAGTAACACAATAAATACTATTAAAGCCATGGCAGTGTGGCACAGTTCTGAGTTAGCCTTTGACAGAGAGCAGTCAGAGAGCTGCTGGCTTATCAGTTCCCTCATTAGTCAACATGGCTAATCCGGCACGCTCTGTGAGCTTGGCATGTCTGCCTGTGTGCGTGTGTCTAAAGGAAGGGGCATGATTACGATCTCTCTGAGATAACTCAGTGGGGCTGTACGCACCAGCTGGAACAAGAAAGCCAGCGATAAAAGCAGGTGTGTGTGTGTGTATTCTTACCACTGAAATACAACTGTCTTTCCTATAGAGTCAATCTTTGGTCACTCGTAGGAAAATGTGGAGTGATTGCATTCCTATCTTGAATGCAACGTGGATAATTACAACAGTGATTTCTAAAAGTCAAGCTCTACTGTTACGTCTGGATAAAAGGCGGCCTTCCCTTCCTCCTACTGACACTAGTCTCCCTCCTCTATCCAGTGTTCCCCACTATTACTCACGGATTCTCACATGATTTGGATACAGTTGGTTTCAATAGAGTTAGTTAACACTTTACTTTAGGCCAACAGGTATAAAGGTTTATTACATGCCTATGGTAAGTCTTATAAAATGTGTTATAACACTCACCCGGGGGTGTATCCCCTCGATGGGCACCACCTCCATCCCACACTCCTTCAGGCCGTTGGTGAACATGGCTCTGAAGACCGGAGAGGACGATGCCAGCACCACCTGTAGACGTGAACTGTCAGGTTGATATCTCAAACATATAAGTAGGGTTCCTACTGTATACGAACAATTCAATGAAGCAATATAATCGGTTATGCAACTTTTTCCAATTCGTTATGAGATTCCCCAAGATCGCCATGCACTCCTCTTTCACAAGATGGTTTTAAAAGGTCCCCCTCATTCACTAGCATAACCATTATTATTATTGTAAAAAATTAAAGGCCAAGTGCTTTCAAAAACGTGATTTTCCTGTGTTTTATATACATTTTCACACTGAGGTTGGAATAATACTGTGAAATTGTGAAAATGATGATAATGCCCTTTTAGCATAAGAGCTGTCCGATGGAGTTTTGGCCTGCCTGGTGACATCACCAGGGGGTAAATTCGTTAATAGACCAATAAGAAGGAGAGTTCCAAACCAAATAACAGCACATTTTCAGTTTTCCCCTCCCTACTTAGCTCTTTGCAAATTGCTCTTTGCTAGGAAGCTATTTTAGTTTATTTTTGACAATTTTAATTGAAAAACAAATCACAGTAAGGTCCTTAATTGTTACCCAGAAATGATTTGATATGTATTTTTTTTTAAACGGCTGCATTAGAGCTTTAAAGGAGAACGGAGTGCAAAACAGACAGAATAGTGTTAGAAACAAGACATAGGATGAGGACCAGAAGGGAAGGGCACAGACCCCCCGTCACCAAGGGGGCATGAGTGGTCCGAAGTCGGGAGCGTTACCGCTACACCAGACTCCGTCCCTAGCATAACCATTATTGACACCATGCAACACACCTTGTGTGCCACGAAGTCCACGGCCTCCAGGTCGTTGTAGCATACACGCAGCGTCACGTCGCACAGCTGGCCGTCCAGCCGCAGCTCGTTCATGATGGCGAAGGCGGCCGCTGTGTGGCTCTCCAGCGTGTAGCTGAAGACGCGGTGGCCGTTGCGCGTCGATGGTGTCACCACCGCCTTGCACTCCGTCGGGCACTCGTTAGACATCCTGACTGACGAAGGATCCTTCCTGGTGCTTCTGTTGAAGCTGCGACAACAACTAAGAACGGTGTTGGGGGTGACTACTGCCGGACATCCTTGCTCGCTGAGGGGCAAGGAAACACTAGGGAAAGGTTGAAAACTGGAGAAGTTAGGGAGGGATTGTAGAAGGCTAGGACCCTTTTCCTAAGGTCTTTGTTGTTTTTGGTTGAATGTATGTCTGTGACTAGAGTTCAGAGAGTATCAAATCGGCTCTCTTAGAAAGGTCCGTAAAAAAACTTCTTAGCCCTTACTCCTTATTCCTCAATTCCAGCCATTGTGTCTATAAGAGTTTTTTGTACAGTCCTACTTATTCCACAAGCCCATCCATAGTGTACATTCAGGTGCTAGTGTAAAACTAAAAATACTGCCAGTCATGGTTATGTATGCTATAACCAGGCCAATCGTAATCCACTGCGATTTATCGCATCATTCAAACCAGTGTTCTAGATTCTCTCCCACCTGCCCTCGAGTAAACTTCTCTTCTTCTCTAGTCTTTTAATTAAAGGGACAGAAAGATGTATGGTCTTTATGGCAGGAAGTATGCAGCAGGTCTTACAAGCCGCAGTAGGGAAATTATTTAACGTTCGCTTGTTGATGTGATTTTTCTCCTAAAGGGGAACTTTCTGAACAAAGGAGAGAGTCATCAACAGTCAGAAAAAGACAGACAGACAGATGCGTCTAGTACTCTGACATCTTCTCTCAAGTCCAACTACTCAGTTCAGAAGTTGTCTTTTTAAAAGTTAAGTTATTTCAAGCGTCCACAGAGTCCAAAGACATCAATTTCCAACTGAAAAATGTTTTGCCTGTGAAGATAAGCGATCGCAGGTCAAAACTTGCTTATTGATTTTTCACTCCGAGGCCCAAAAAACAGACACTGATATACTGCTGCATCTTAAAATGGTGGTCATAATTATAAAATCAGGACTTAGCTCATGGAGCTAGCTACACTTCTGCCAGGAGTTGGGAAGAAGAGGGATAAGGATAGGGTGGTAGAGGGGTGTAAACTCCTAAACTCTGTACAGAGAGAAAAAAGAGCAGGTGCCAAAAATGTCGTCAGCGTAAGCTAGCAGCCCTCAGGATTCAGGAATGAGAGGGAGAGCTCAGTTTAGTTTGGTTGATCAGTTGCTCCACTCTAGAAGCTTTCCCAGAAGTCGCCCCGCTCTGGAATCTCAATTTGTACTGTTGTGTTTACTGGGAAGGTCTGGGCGCCGTTGGCAACTAGAAGAGAAGAGAGAAAGACAGGACAGTTCGGTGTTAGGGTGGATAGTGTTTATCTAATAGTGATGGGGGAGGGGGGGAATCAATACATTTACATATCGGGATATTACAATAAAAATGTTGCACTAGTTGGCTGTATCTGCACCAAAATATCAGTATTTTCCCTTCATAGCTTGTTCGCCATCTTCTTTTAAATAAAGATCCTATTTGTTTTTAGCACTTTTATTTCCATGACTGATCAAAACTTGTTTCTCAAGGCTCTCTCCTGTCCCTCTGCAGCAGACATACAGTGAGCAATATGTTGGGAACATCGAATAAAATCACAGTATCGAATTGCAATACATATAGAATCGTGAGAATCGCAACACATATCGTACAGCCACCAAAGTATCGTGATAATATCCTATCGTGAGGCCTCTGGCAGTTCCCAGCCCTGTTATCTAACAGTTGTTTTATTGGTCAATGGTCATCCTTATTGACAACCATCTTCAGATGTTGTTTTTACATGTTTGGTGCCAAACCTTTTGCCTGGTATCCAAATTTAACCCACCCTGACCCTCTTCTTTGATTTTATTGATTTGCTTGTTTTCACTGTAATTTCTTTCACTTCAACAATAGTGAAACAGATAGCGGATTGAGTTTGAGTATCAATCTAGAGCTTTCATTTTTGAGCGAGAGTGATTTAGTGTTATACGACAAGCGAATGACTCAGCTAACGAACATTCCGAAGCGATCTAACCTCAATCACTCCAGTCAGAACAAAAGTCACACCCATGAATCCTCTTTGGAGGAGTCACAGTTTCTCTTAGTCACTGTGACTAGTGTCAATGTGCTTTTAGACGACATCACAGCTCTTGGAGAGCTTGAGTGTCTACAGATTCCACACAAGGGAATGCGGAGTCCCCCCCCCCCCCAGACATGGGTTCAAATACCATTAGAAAGAATTTCAAATACTGCACCTGTGCTTGATTGAGCGTGCCTGTTGCAATGGAACCAATAGAGAAGTCTCAAAAGTGCAAACCCCACCCACCTGGCTCTCCAGGCAGACGAGCAAACGCTCAAAGTATTTGAAAGATTTCTAAAAGTGTCTGAACCCAGGTCTGGCGGGGAGTGGGTAAGATAGATCAGAGCCTCGGCTAGTGGTTGGGCTGAGTGACGTACTTCATTCTGAGGAAGACAGAGTGAGTGACTTATATTAGGACAGAATTGAAGTAGTCAGCGTGACTGTGTTTTTTTCCCTGGACTGTCCTGTGACCAATCTGGCTACAGCAGTGGAGAGTAGGAAAATAAACACACACACACACACAAGTTGATAAGTAAGCTACAGGCTATACAGGTGTTAAGCCTGTTCATTCACAACTAGGCCAATACAAAAGTCACTATAGAGAGAGGGTAATAGTTACTCAGCATCAATTGTTATCGTGTTATTGCAGCTGCTCTGGCCTGAGTGGGTAACATCACTGCAATGTTACGTTTTGCACTTAATGATTACCTGTACAAGTAGATAAGAAAACTGACTGGCTGGACTGAAGGGCTGGGAGGACAAGTTATATGGCCTACCTGTTCTAGGCTGCCTCCCAAATGGCACCCTATTCCCTATATAGTGCACTACTTTTGACCGGGGCCCATAGGGCTCTGGTCAAAAGCAGTGCACTGTGTGTACTCTTAGAAAAGGTGCCATCTAGAACCTAAAAGGGTTATTCGACTATCCCCATAAGAGACCCCTTTGAAGAACCCTTGTTGGTTCCAGGTAGAACCCTTTTGGTTCCAAGTATAACCATTTTGGGATCCATGTAGAACCCTTTCCACAGAGGGCTCTACATGGAAGCCAACATGGTTATACCTGGAACCAAAACGGGTTCTCTTATGGGGACAGCCGAATAACCCTTTTGGAACCATGTTTTTCTAAGAGTGTAGGGAATAGGGTGCCATTTGGGATGCAGCCTTAGTTGTATGGTCTGCCTACCTCCAGTTCTATGTACGTCATTCTACTACCCTCCCACTATATTACATGCAATCCTGTACAACTCACTGAAGTGAAACAAAGATTAGACTATTATTATATGGTTGGACCATTCTCTGTAATGAAGACAATGCTTACATTGGACAATGTTTGATATCATATTATTACAATGTGTAGGCCTAACTAAAGTATAGTTGGGTCATTCCTACAATGAGGTGCATTTTGGACCTCGTAACTTTTAAAAAAAGTTCAGAAAAGGACGTTTGACTTTCAGAAAAACATATTGGTCAAGCTCAGGTACTTAATTTAAAAAAAATGTGTTTTACCTGTTAGGTGCATAATCCTAACAGGTTGGAACTGTTGAGCCTGAAGCCATATCCCTGTGAGTGAGCAAGATTGAGCTAGCATAATGGTGAACACTTGAAAATGATTTTTACTTGTCTATCAAACATATTTTAAGCTTTTGAAATTTGGTGAATTCTCTCTATAATTTAGCCTAACAGGGTGGACATTTATGAGTTGGACATACAGACTAACAACATGAAACATGGACAAATAGATACAACTGAGTGTTTATATTTATTTAGCTTTGCACCGTTGTTTTCTCACCAAAGAAATTAAGGGTTGTTTTCTTAAGTGGAGAATTACAACAAACTAACAGGGTGGAAAGTGATATCAGGGGCACACAGAAAATCTTAAATAAAATACAATAATCATGAAAAAAAATGTATTGTTGAGAGATAATTTAACTAGGACTATAAAATAATGAAGAAAGATTCTAAATATTTAATGGCTTATATTTCTCGTGGAAGATGAATAACACCCAGGGACATGACAAAACGCCTACATCCACTGAAAGAAAACTGTTCCAAAATGCATTCAATTTCAGTTTCAAGATCCATATTTTTGTGTTTTTAGGGTAAAGGACACCTGACCTTATATTTAAAGCCTTTTGGAATCCACATTTTACACTAAAGAAGAAGTGATATTTACTGGGGTAAGAAAAGGCACTGCATTGTAGGAATGGCCCAGTTACACTATGTAACTATAGTATAGTTACCCATTATAGCCTAACTAGGAGATGTAGGAGGTAGCTTAACTAGGAGATGAAGGAGTTATAGCTTAACTAGATGTAGGCTACAAAGCAGCAGTAGTAGACCTACAGCTGAAGTCGGAGGTTTACATACACTTAGGTTGGAGTCATTAAAACTCGTTTTTCAACCACTCCACAAATTTCTTGTTAACAAACTATAGTTTTGGCAAGTCGGTTAGGACATCTACTTTGTGCATGACACAAGTAATTTTTCCAACAATTGTTTACAGACAGATTATTTCACTTATAATTCACTGTATCACAATTTCAGTGGGTCATAAGTTTACATACACTAAGTTGACTGTGCCTTTAAACAGCTTGGAAAATTCCAGAAAATGATGTCATGGCTTTAGAAGTTTCTGATAGGCTAATTGACATAATTTGAGTCAATTGGAGGTGTACCTGTGGATATATTTCAAGGCCTACCTTCAAACCCAGTGCCTCTTTGCTTGACATCATGGGAAAATCCAAAGAAATCAGCCAAGACCTGGTTCATCCTTGGGAGCAATTTCCAAATGCCTGAAGGTACCACGTTCATCTGTACAAACAATAGTACGCAAGTATAAACACCATGGGACCACGCAGCCGTCATACCGCTCAGGAAGGAGACGCGTTCTGTCTCCTAGAGATGAATGTACTTTGGTGCGAAAAGTGCAAATCAATCCCAGAACAACAGCAAAGGACCTTGTGAAGATGCTGGAGGACACAGGTACAAAAGTATCTATATCCACAGTAAAACAAGTCCTATATCGACATAACCTGAAAGGCCGCTCAGCAAGAAAGAAGCCACTGCGCCAAAACTACCGTAACAAAGCCAGACTACGGTTTGCAACTGCACATGGGGACAAAGATCGTACTTTTTGGAGAAATGTCCTCTGGTCTGATGAAACAAAAATAGAACTGTTTGGCCATATTGACCATCGTTATGTTTGGAGGAAAAAGGGGGTTGCTTGCAAGCCGAAGAACACCATCCCAACCGTGAAGCACGGGGGTGGCAGCTTCATGCTGTGGGGGTGCTTTGCTGCAAGAGGGACTGGTGCACTTCACAAAATAGATGGCATCATGAGGAAGGAAAATGATGTGGATATATTGAAGCAACATCTCAAGACATCAGTCAGGAAGTGAATGCTTGGTCGCAAATGGGTCTTCCAAATGGACAATGACCCCAAGCATACTTCAAAGTTGTGGCAAAATGGCTTAAGGACAACAAAGTCAAGGTATTGGAGTGGCCATCACAAAGCCCTGACCTCAATCCTATAGAACATTTGTGGGCAGAACTGAAAAAGAGTGTGCAAGCAAGGAGGCCTACAAACCTGACTCAGTTACACCAGCTCTGTCAGGAGGAATGGGCCAAAATTCACCCAACTTATTGTGGGAAGCTTGTGGAAGGCTACCCGAATCGTTTGACCCAAGTTAAACAATTTAAAGGCAATGCTACCAAATACTAATTGAGTGTATGTAAACTTCTGACCCACTGGGAATGTGAAGAAAGAAATAAAAGCTGAAATAAATCATTCTCTCTACTATTATTCTGACATTTCACATTTTTTAAATATAGTGGTGATCCTAACTGACCTAAAACAGGGGATTTTTACTAGGGTTTAATGTCAGGAATTGTGAAAAACTGAGTTTAAATGTATTTGGCTAAGGTGTATGTAAAATTCCGACTTCAACTGTATATTGTGTATTTGTTGTGTGAAAAGCAGGAGTTTGAAATCTCATGGAAGGCCTATCCCTCCCAGTTTCTTGAGAAAAAAAAGTCACAGTTTAGTAGTAGCTTGTTGCTCAACACTCACTCTGACAACTCACATAGTATGCTCATCATGGAAGAACTCACCCCTTCAACTAGCTGTGTTTACTCAACTTCATGATACATACACTAAGTGGACAAAACATTAAGAACACCTTCCTAATATTTGTTTGGACTCTACAAGGTGTTGAAAGTATTCCACAGGA